ACGTTGGGCGAAACTTACTCGCAACAACCTACAAGCCAAGCAAAAACTTGGTTTCATCGACGGCACACTCATCAAACCTCCCTCCGACTCTCCTGATTATCCACGCTGGCTGTAAAAAAAACTCCATGTTAGTTGGATGGCCGTACGCAAGTCTTGATCCTCAAGTGCAGAAATCTATCTCGGTCGTTGACAATGCACGTGTTATGTGGGACAATCTACGCAACCGTTTCTCGGTTGGTAATGCATCTCGAGTTCATCAACTGAAGGCTGATCTTGTCGCATGTCGTCAAGGTGGACAACAAGTTGCTGATTATTTCGGTAAGCTCAAAGTAATGTGGGATGATCTTGATGACTACAAACCTCTTCTTACCTGCTGCTGCGACAAATCCAATTGCCCTTATTCTCTCCGACAGATCCAAAGAAGCGATCACGAAAGGATCCATCAGTTTCTTATGGGACTTGATGCTGCTAAATTCGGAACTACTCGCACCAATATACTCAGTCGTGACGTTGATATCAACTTAGACAACATCTCCTCGGAAATCATCACAGAAGAACGTCATCTAACTGTTACACACATCAATAACACTGGACCATGTACTCACTGTGGCCGCTCAAATCACAGCATTGACACATGTTTCAAGCTCCATGGCACTCCAGAATGGTACACTGAAAAGTATGGCGACACTGGATTCGGACGTGGCCGTGGTAGAAGCAATACTCCTCGCAGAAGAAGCAGAGATCGTGGATCCAAATATAGGGCTAACAATGCTCAAACGCATTCTACCTATGAGTTTCCCGATATCCCAGGAGTAAGCAGAGAAGTATGGTCCGCGATAGTCAACCTATTGAAACCTGAAACTACCACTTCGTCTGAAAAACTCTCCGGTAAGAAAAACTGTGTCAATTTTCTTATTGATTCCGGAGCCTCTCACCACATGACTGGCTACTTAGATTTGCTTACTGAGATTTATGAGATTCCTCATAGCATAGTCGTTCTCCCTAATGCTAAACACACAATCGCTACTAAAGAAGAGACTTTGATTCTTGGCGAGAACATGAAACTCTCTCGTGTTTTATATGTCCCTGATTTTTTATGCACACTCATCTCTGTGGCGCGTCTCTTGCGTGAACTACACTGCTTTGCCATGTTCACTGATCAAGTTTGTGATATAGGACCATACTTTGAAGACGCTGATTAGAGTCGGTAAAGAGAAGAACGGAGTTTATCACTTTTAAGGGACAACTTCAGCTAGTGCTAATGTAGTCAAGAAGAAATTCGACAAAGCTTTATGGCATCTGCGATTAGGACACCCCTTACTGAAAGTTCCATCCTCTGTTTTGCATACCTTAGAAGATTTTGATAGTTGTAGTAGCGATTTTACAAGAGATTTGTGATGTTTGTGTTCGAGCAAAACAGACTCGAGCCAGTTTTTTCAGAAAGTTATAATAAAGCATAAGAGTGTTTTTCTTTGATTCATTGTGATGTCTGGGGACCATACAAACTTGCTTCGTCTTGCGGAGCTCACTATTTTCTTACCATCGTTGATGATCACTCCCACACAGTTTGGACTCATTCTATGCTCGCAAAATTTGAGGTCTCGTCTTACACACATTTGTTGCAATCGCTCTCTGCCAATTCAACAAACACGTTAAGACTGTATGTAGTGATAACGGCACTGAATTCATAAGTCTGCGATCCTATTTTGCTGCAAATGGCATTGTTCGTCAAACGTCTTGTGTTTATACGCCTCAACAAAACAGGCAAGTCGAGCGTAAGCATCACCACATCTTGAATATCGCTTGTTTGCTACTGTTTCAAGCAGATCTTCCTACACGTTTCTGGGGAGAAAGCATTCTTACAGCAGCATATCTTATCAACCATACTCCTACTCCGCTTCTTGATGGCAAAACTCCATATGAAGTTCTCTACTCAAAACCTCCATCTCATGATCAACTTCGAGTGTTCGGTAGTCTCTGCTTTGCAAAGAGACATTCAGCTCGCACCGATAAGTTCCAAGAGCGAGGGCGTAAGGGCATATTCGTTGGCTATCCTCATGGTCCGAAAGGGTGGCGCATTTATGACATTGAAACACATGACATATTTGTTTCACAGGATGTCATCTTCCAAGAAAATACATTCTCATTTTCTGATCAGCACAACAAGCCAACAGAATCATCTCAAACACCTGCTGTTCAGGCTCTGTTTTTGCTATCTGATGATGATTTCACATCGCCATCTGCGTTAGTCAGTACACAGACGACAGCCGAGCCTTCTGAAGAACCTATGTCTCCCATCAGATCCTTCCCTTGTCTGCAAGTTAAAGAAATCTATCTATGGGCTTAAACAAGCGCCTCGCTGCTGGTTTGATAACTGTCTACCTCTTTACTGCGATATGGTTTTGTCCAATCCAAGAAGGACTACTCTCTCTTCACCTACATCCGCGGCTCCATCAACCTTCACATCATTGTCTATGTTGATGACCTGGTTATTTGTGGGAATGATTCCACGATTATCTCAAAGTTCAAGAGCTATTTGAGTGAGTGTTTCAAAATGAAAGATTTGGGACCCTTAAAATATTTTTTGGGGATCGAAGTTGCTAGAAGCCCAGCTGGTATTTACCTGTCTCAACGCAAGTATTGCCTTGATGTTATAGAAGAATGTGGCTTATCGGGTTCATGTCCATCGGACCACACCTCTAGAACAGAATCATAAACTCGCTTATTCTACAAGTCTGCCGTTTCCTGAACCTGATAAATATCGCCGGCTCGTCGGACAGCTTGTTTATCTCACTCACACAAAGCCCGAAATCTCTTATGCTGTCAACATGCTGGCTCAGTTTATGCAAATTCCATTATCTGATCATTGGAATGCCGCTCTTCGTCTTGTTCGATATTTGAAAGGATGTCCTAGACAAGGTATTCTTCTCTCCTCTAGTTCTTCTTTGCAACTCACGGCATTCAGTGACTCCGATTGGGCGGTATGTACGATTACACAATGCTCCTTAACTGGTTACTTCGTGAAGCTTGGTTATTCACCCGTTTCTTGGAAAACAAAGAAACAAGATCGGGTCTCTCGATCTTCGCCGAAGCTGAATATCGTGCGATGGCTATGACATGTCAAGAGTTAATGTGGGTCAAAGAGGTACTTTTATCTTTTGGTATCAATCATGATCAACTTATGCATCTCGTCTGTGATAGCAAATCTGCTCTACATATTGCTTCCAACCCTATGTTTCATGGGAGGACCAAACATATAGAGTCTAACTGCTATTTCATTATGGATGAGGTCACAGCTGGCAATCTCGTGCTCTCTCACGTTTCTACTACTGAACAACCAGTGGATATTTTTACTAAAGCTTTTGGACATCAACAGTTTCGATTTTTCATGGACAAGTTGGGTGTTTGTGATTTGCACGCTCCAACTTGAGGGGAAGTATTAGGATAAGAATGCATTCTTTATTAAATTAATGTTAATATACTTATATACTTATCTAGATCTCTAAACCTAATCTCGTGTACTATATATACTCATTGTATACATCAATAATAACTAAGCAGTTCTATTCACTTTGGCAAAAAAAGAAAAGACAGAGATTTAGAAACTAAAGTAAACAACTTTTCTATATTTTTCTTTCTTATTTTATTCTAATGTTGATCTTTACAATGGCAAAGAGCTGAGCTAGTTGTAAACTAAAACCTTTAGTTATCATAAATAGATAATATATATATATATATATATATATATATATATAATTTCTAGCCAAATATTAAAAATCTTGGCAAGTTTATTGCTATTGGAATGAATGCCCAAGTGTGAATGATTTTTTTCATGAAAATTACGTGGGTGTCATTTGAATATCATATAATCTTTCAATTGATTTGAGGCTGTCGACAAAAAGGAAAAAAAAAATCCTTCATTTTCATTTTATGATAAACCTCGAACCTTTTGGATGGAAAAAAAAACTTTAGTCTTGAGGTCGAGACAAAACTTCCTCCTTCCTGTAAATGGTATTTTTCTCACTTTGTTATATAAACATATAGATTTAAATTTGATTTTGTGTTTTCACTTTGATAGTGTATTTAGATTCAAATTTGACTATGTGCTTTCACTTTGATGATGATACAAGAATATGTATGACTCAACAACAGTTAATTGACTGTCTTGGTAACTGTTAAAACGCAAACCGCTAATTACCTGGAATCATAGTTGGGCAAGGGCCTCTTCTACGCATTCTTAGTTTATGATTTTGATTGTGTCAACCCAAAGGCTCCATTCTGATCACCAATATTGCCTGCTAGCAAAACCAGATTCAAAATCCTATGTATTTAACAAGAGACCAATGTTTAGTCAATGATTCTTCGAGAATCACAGATTATTACATCCAACATAATAAACGTTTTTCTATCTTCATAATTCTAATACTTTCTTGCTTTTGTATTTTCATATCATATACTTTTAGATATCGAAAATTACATAGATTACGTCGCACTAGTGTTATAGTTTTTTGTATAACACATATTGATATATATATATATATACACATTATACACATAGAGATTATATATGTACACTTATGTCAATAACTTTATAAGAAAAAATTAAATGGGCATACATAGTTGCAAGAAAAATGTAAACAATACTCCTTATGTTCCTAAAAGAAAGATGTTTTATAAACAGTGGGAGTAGCATATAACTAAACCTTTAACATGATATCAACCTTTTAAATAATAAATTTTTGGGGGGTTGACTTATAAAATTCGCAGTCATAGAAACAAAACAAGTTAGAGTTGATGTTTCTAATGTTGTTGTCTTTGGTGGGTCTTTTCCAAAACATCCAACATATTTTAATATGCGGAAAAGTATGAGATTAAATGGAATTGGTTGCAAGATACTTTTGAGACTCGTAATTAGAATCTAGAGGCTTAGACCAAAATGAAGTATGAGAAGAACTGGTTTCAACTTTTTTGATATTGAAAGACCACATTCTCTCCATCTCGTAATATAGTAACATTTAACATAATGTCAGCTACATGTATAAAAAAACCAATAATAGTATATTCTTTCCTACCCAATGATACATTCGGATCAAAGAAACAAACTTTATTATAATAAATAAGAAACATCGCAACATATTTAGAAAAAGAAAAAGAAATGTCCTGTCCTTTTGAGTGGTGTAGGTAAAGGAACCAAAACTCTGCGAAAGATACTGCTGTTTAGAGAACGCATCAAACAACTTCACCTTAATCTTCGTAGACTTTGACCCAAAGTTGGTTGACTTAATCTCCCACTTCACCCTACTTTCTCAGTTTTGTTTTGGGTTTCTCTTTGCCTAACCCCAAAAGTTAAAAAAAAAAGAAAAGAAAAAGAAAACGGCCGTTATCACGGCTTCGAAGCGGACACAGACTCTTTGCCGGCGATGGACGACGACCTCTCAGTCACGCCGTTACCACTACCGTTACCATTTAACTTCACAGTGTTCGTTGACTGTACGGTCATGCCGGAAAGATTGGGAGAAGTAGGACCTACAACGTCGGCGGCTCCAGAGATCAAAGGGCTACGAGAGTGACACGTGGCTGTTGAGATGGCAGTGGCTAAAGAGATTGGCATGAGACAGAGACCTTTCCCTTGAAGGTACTGCATGGCCGAGCCCATGTCTTCTTCCATTAACTTCGCCACTTGATGCTCCGTCATCGTTAAGCCGTCGTTGGAGTTTCCGGCCGTCTGATTACCGCCGGAGACGGCGGAGGATGCGTTTCCGTGGGTTCCACCTGCCTGAAATGATAAAAGTAAAATATTCAAGAAAATAAAGAAAAGACAAAAGATAAAGACATGAAAGCGAAACCCTAAGCAGTAATAGTCGGCACGCATGCTCGCCCTTTTCTCTATTTTATAATCTTAAAATTTATCTCTTTTTCTGGTTCTGCAAACTTTATATCTATGTTTGTTTCGTTTATTTCAATATTTATCTATTTTTTGACACACAGAAAAATATGTAACGCCGGATGTAACATCAACAAATCTAGGCGAAATTTCAATTTTCTATAATGATTTATAATTTTCTCTATTTATCATTATATTAATTTATTGAAGTTTATAAAAAAAAAGGAGTGGGAGTAGTGAAATTAATTACCTCAGAGATTTGAGACGAAACGGAAGCAGCACCACCCAATCTGCTCATGCTCAGTACCTAAAACGCAATAATTAAATCCAAAAACAGAATTATTAAGTACACCGGTCAACTATTATTTGATTTAAATATACATTATGTAATGCGAGTATATATGACAATCCAGGAAAAAAAAATAAAAAAAAAGGAGAGGGAGCATAAGGAATTTTAGTTGCAGAGGCCCATATTTGATTAATTTGTATGTATATATTGTACTAAATATGTCAGCTTTTCTTTTTGTCTAATATGTTAACTACAAAGCAAAGAATCTTCCATCAATATATAAAAGAATAAAATAAAACATAAGGTAGTAGTTTGTAAAAAACAATTACCGCTTGTATAATAAGTAACCAAATGAAAATATAGTTGTAAGAAAAGTGTAAGAGAGAGATTCACCTTGACTTGGAGTTGTAAAAACTTGACATAATCTATAATCTCATCGAGCATCGATGCCTTGTCTGTCTGTCAATTATTATTTTAAATAAAATTCAAAAAACAATCTGTCAGAACTGAGATCCTAACCCATTTATTACTGCACTGGTTAACTTTATTATTGTAGCCTAATTAATTAGCTAATCAGTGTTTAATCATTTGATTGATACTTTTAAATAGAGAGGGTAAACAACCACCAATTATATATGAGTAAAACAAAAACAAAAATACTAAGCTGATCTGTTTCTGAGTTTTTAGTAAATAAAGACATGCTAAACTATTTCTTGAAGACTTGAACAACTCCAATTCCTGATCAATTTGACTACTGAAGTGAATTCTCATTTTGACATTTATTTTCTATTTACCGAGTTTTGGTCAATAAATATTAACTCATGAAAATATATAGATAAAACTAACTTTGACAATTATATTTCACTACAATGAACTTTAGGTAATAATACACACCATACTGGAGTAGTGAATTCATCATGTAGATGATACTATGGTTCACAATGATACATATTGAGAGTGCTAATGATCAAAATGATGTAAAATGATATTTTTCTTTAGAAGATTCATTTAGTATTTGGAAAATAAACTGAAAATGAATTAAAGAAAAATACCTTATTGCCGTTAGGAACGAGTTCTTGAAGAGCTTTCATTCTCTCCGCAATTCTCTCTCTTCGTAACTGCCCCCATAAAACATTTTTTTCACAACTTTTCAGAAAATACTCGCAAAAGTTTAAAACTTTTCTTTAAAAAATAAATTTTCCACGCCTTTCTCGGTAACTGATACGAATTAATGCAACGAAAAACATATCGAATAATAAATAAAAAAACAAAAAAAAATTCTAACCCGTTCGGCGATACTGTGAGGATCAGTTGCTTGACCTCTCCTAGCTCTGACTTTAGTCCTACTCTGCGGCGGAGCCGCCGCCGTACCGCCAGTAGCTGTAGACGCACTTGCCTGCGGTTGCGTTTGTGACTGCGTTTGCGTTTGTCCTTGCTGGTTCATCAATCCACCCCCCGACCCCTAAAAGGTATCATCATAAATTTCAATTATCAAAAATGAAACAGAGAGAGGGAGAGGGGAGATTTTGTTTAGTTTGTATGCCTGAGGGATGTGGAAAGGAAGAGATCCGACGGCGGAGAAGCCATTGTAAAGAGCGTGGACGGCGGAGCCATCAGCGACGTCGTTTTGATGGTGTGACGATAAAGGCATCATCATGATCTGTTGATGCCTCGAGTCGCCGAAGCCATCGGAGGGAGGAGGAGGATGAGCTTCGTCTACGACGGATGGCCATGGGGCGGAGGCAAAGATTTGATCGAGGAAGTCTTCGTGGTCGAACGCCGTGGCCGGAGTTTGGATATGGGAAGAAGAAGAAGATGACGGAGTTAGAAGAGAAGAGTTCATCATCTTCTACTCTTCTTTTTTCTTTTGGAAGGAGTTGAAAATGTTGAGGTCTGGCTTAATTATTATAAAGAGGCATAAAGAGGTAGTATTGTTGTAGATATTCCTATTATATATTTAAAACAATTAGGGTTTGAAAAAAAAATTAATTAATAAAATATCATTTTTTGGTGGTGGTTCAGAACTCAAAAAGAAATTAAAACACTTTTCTATTTTTTTTGTTGGCAACTCATTGTGTGATGATGAATCGATGATTATCTTCGCCTTGAGTTTCCGTCTTAAACTTTGGTTTATCTTTACTCCATATCTTAATCATTCCTTTTTACAGCTTAAATACTATTCTCATTCATTTTAATGATCGTTTTATAGTTTTTTTTTCAAAATAATTGTCATCAAATTTATACTACTAATAGATTTTTTCTGTTTTATCTTTACTTTTTAGTATATTAATTACTCTTATCAAACAAAATAATATATTAAGTAAAGGTAAAACAGAAAAATTAATTTTTTTTTTAATCTGTGTAAAATTATTTAACGACAATTAAAATGATACGGAGGGATGAGAAATCCCCTATATATTAAAAAAGAAGCATTTTTGAAAAATAACCTTAATTTTGTAAAATATTACAGTGGTGTCGTTTTGCTGATGTGTCATCACCAGAATCATTTTCAACAAAATTATAAAAATATATTTATATTATTAGATTAATTATATGTTATGCCACTCACATGAATTTGGTTATACATTAGTTTATATCAATTATATTGATGATGATTCATAAAGATATTCTCTTTTCTATTTCTTACCAAAAATATATCATATTAATTATTTATTTAAATACTATATTTTATCTCATATTTTTATAGAAAAAATAAATCATCACATCATTCATATAGTAAAATATTTATAGTGTTATAATTCAAATTTCATAAAACAAATATAAATTATTCAAATGATTAATAAATAAAAGTATGTTTAAAAGACTAAAATTGAAAATAAAGATGTGTAGATAGATGATTCATAAATTAATATAAAAATACATAAATAATAAAAAAAACAGGAAGCTTAATCTAATATATATTATTATTATAATTTTTTTTGATTTTATATGGTTTTAGAGCCATATAAATTAACTAAATAATATAAATATTTAAATTTTATAATAAGTACATAATATTAATAAAAAGTTGAACTATAAAAGAATAGTTGAATATGTTAATAGAATATAATATTATAAATATTTTATTTGATTAAAAAATATCATAAATGTTTATTTTATACAACAAAATAACTTGGTAAAAAATTAAAAAAAAATTTTGTAAGGATATTATATAATAATTTTATCAAACTTTTTGATATTAAAAATATTTTATTGAATCAAAAAGTTAAGAATGTATAAATACTGACTCAGTTATATACAATTTATTTATTCAAAAAATATAATCTATTTTTATATAATCCTTATGTATATTTAGTATTTAAAATCAATTTAACAGTAATTTTCTTTTCTTAAAAGTTAATATTTTTATGACTACAGTTTTTGCGGGTTAATCTAAATATGCATTTACATTGGTATAAAAAAATATTAAAATCGATTATAAAATCTTATAATCAAATTTTTATTTTTATAATTTTAATATTCTCTATTTCAAAATATAAGTTTTTTTGGATCAAAGCACAAAGATTAAAAAGTAACTTTTCTTTTATAAAGTAATTATTTAGTATATAAATTGTATATAATTCAACTAATTATATAAAAACTAAAAAATATAATCGGTCACATAGTATTCATAGAAAGTAGTAAAAATAAAATAAAAAACAACTATATTGTGAAATAAAAAAAAACTTTAAAAAAAACTAATATTATGAAACAGAGGAAGTAGTAATTTTTTTATATTATTATCATAACGCAATAGATACTTAATAATTTAAGCAAAATATACTCTCTCTATTTTTTTGAATTTTAAGATCATGTTATTAATCATGGGTTATAGAAAATATAAAGAGCGACTTCCTATTTTTATCTAGATTGTGCATATTTATTTAAATTTTAAAACTAATTTACATTATAATTAAATTACCCTATATTTCATAAAATAAATAAAAAAAATATTTTGTTAATATTTCAATATAATGTTATAAACAACTCATATAAAATCAATTATATTTTGTTTTATGATTTTAAAATTATACTATATTAAATAAATAATTATTATTTCATCCCGCACAAGGTGTGGATTATTACCTAATATACTATTAAAATGAAACTCTTTGTTAAATACAAATATACAAGTAATTAGCGGAGAAAAAAAAAATGTAACTTTGAAGTATCAACCAATCACATCTTGATGCATGGAGCTTACAGTGACTTTTTTTTATTGTTAACTCGTCACCTAGCAAACTCACTCTCTGACTCTAACGGTAGTTGATATACATGAATTCACCAAAATCTAGCACACTCAACATTCTCGAACAAATTCGTCTTTAATTTTTGATATAAAATTCCTAACACAATCTATTAAAATTATGGTTCTTCTAGCTAATTCATTTGAACAAAAAACTCACTATAAAATCAGTAACTTTACTCACTCGAATCAACATGATTGTGATACCATATCAATGTTAGTGGAACTGTAAATCACATCCGTATATTGATATATATTTTCTGTTTTAAATGATATCATAATGTATTGAAATTTTTAAAATAAATTTCTTATTCTAACAAAAAAATAAAATTGAAAGAGAATTTAGAATTCCGCTTATGATCAATTTAATTATGTAAACGAACTACTCATAAAGGTTAAACTATATATGTACTAACTAAATGGGAATCATATATAATACGTTTTTGTAATCCTTTCACGATGCATATATCTAAGATTATAAATAAAGTCGATTTGGTACATTCATCAATGATGCTTAACCCCATCATAAGTGTTCTCTCGAAATTCTACTGTTTTTGTCTTGTCCCCAAGATCACAAACATCCTATCCGAAAGACGATACTCGTATTTGAAATTAATAGTCACAGAATATGATAATAGGTTTTAAAAATGAAATTCCGTATCAATATGATAACTTATCTTTTGGAGAGATATATATTATATAACTAATCACGACTTTTTTTTCTTAGTAAAACTAGTTATTCTTTATATTGTCACAATCGCCATTCTTTATTGTTCCAGTAAATCGGAATCACTGTCCAGATTTTTTACACTTGCTGTTTGGATCCATTATACATTTAGGGTTTCTAATGACATATTTTGTAGTTTGAAATTTTGTTTACCGTTTCCATTTGCTACAAGCCTATTTCATGAAATAACGAAATTCTTCATTCTTAAAGGCGTATGAACTTAATTATATAAGTACATATGTATGCATGTATCTTCTTATGTTATGCACACGTATATGTATATATGTATATATTAATTTTCTTAAGTCACGATTCTCTCAAGTTTATAACAATTAAACAAACATATATGCTCATTTAAGTTCATGTATGCCTGCATGTGTGTACATATATAATATATAATATGCACATATGAAATACGTATACATACCGTATTTTATAAACCAAAATCTTAGGGACGTTCTTTACCAACAACAAACAATCTTGGGGGGGGGCGGGATTTATTGTGTTGGCATGTTCACTTTCCACAATCCATTATCCATGTTATAGCTTTATAGGTTTGAGAATGATACTCCTTCTGTTTCATAATAAATGTCATTTTGGGAAAATGTATCTGCATTATAACTGGATGTATTAACTTCAAAACACATCCAGATACATTTAGTTATAATGTAAATACATTTTTTCAAAATGACACTTATTATGAAACAGAGGGAGTAAAATTTTAGTTTCGGTTATAAGTACTAATTAATGTATCAGTTAAAAAATTAGTTAGGTTTCGATAAATGGTAGTATATGCATTTTTAAATATGTATGTAAAAATTGTAAAATAAGTATTTTTAACAAAATGAAAGGAGTAAAATGATTTAGAAAGCTCTGTTTAATTTTGTGAGGAAACCAATGCAACGTATAGCCATATAGTGTGGAACTATTCGAGTAACTATACTAATGGGATTAGTTTAAATAAAATATTCTGCGTGATTAAGCACATGGGACATTCTGCGTTTGCACAAACTCACAAGGGGAGAAAGATGGGCTTTAATTACACTCATTTATTAATTGCAAATGTTGGTCAAATAATTAATGTACTACACAACAAAGCGAGAGAGAGAGAGATCGATGAACCAATATTATTTTGTTAGAGATTGAGACAGAGACGTACTTAAAAACTAAAATATGATACTACTTGTTTTTGTTTGTTCTTAATAAAGTAAATCGAAGTCATAAAATATGTTTATTCACATTCTTCTAAAACAACTAATTAGAGATAGGTATATATTGGTATACGTCTTTGTCATTTCTTCCTTTACACCTCAATCCGCATATTCCACATAAATTAATAAAAGTTTATACGGTATTACCAAATTGTATCTTACGTATATCTTTTTGTCTAAATCGAAGTAAAACAAAATATGATATTTAGTTTTGATCCTCATAAATGTTTTACTAAGTTTTAAATTTGATAAAGTGAATTATGTAAATATGAGAAATCTAAGTGAATGCATTTACTATGCATTGAAGATTCTGGTTAAAAAAATCTTCAACAGCGTTTATATTTCTAACAAAGTTTTCAGGGATTGAAGATTGAAGACTCTTTAATAAGTAGATATATTGAAGATTGTGGTTGAAAAAGAAAACGATATTACGTGCAAGAATTAGAGTCAGGAATTAATTTTATGTACAGAGATAATGATAAATAAAAGTCAGTATTTCGATGTGGATGTCTGTACTCTGTAGTATGAGAAATTCTTGCCGATCAAAAATACTTTCAAGATTTGGTTAATACAATATGTGAATAAGATGTCAAATAATTAATATTATGCAAGATTTGAATTGCAAAATATTTATAACTATACATCATCGTTGAATAAACAGAAACTAGATTTCTGTATCCACGCATCCGCACGGATTTAGAGGTGTATTGAAACTGAAATTTTAAAATATTTTGTAGTTATTTTAAAATTTCATGTTATTCAACTAATAATTTTTAAATGTCTTACCAAAATCTATGTTATTGAACATGAAATTTATATAAAACTAATTAAAATCATTTAAACTTTCATGTTGTTCAATCAAAAAGTTGTAAAAACTAAATCAAATCCATTGTTATTAGAAATATTGTAAATAGTGAATTTTAGAAAATATGAGTACTTTTAAATTATTTGGTGGAGTTTATTAGTTAAAAATATAAAATACCAAATCTTATTGTTTTAGGTGGAATTTCATATTATTCTAATATCAAATCATATCATCTTTCCTAATCCACATAAAATCATCTAAAAATTTATTAAAACTCAAATCTTTTCAAATTCTCTAAAATTTCAGTTTCAATACATCCCCCTTATATTTTTTCAAATAATAAATATCATATCTACAAATATGATACTATAAGATATGAGGTCTAAAATATGTTTTTAATGATTATATGAATTATAAATTATTTTTATGTGATGAATATTGACATTAAATTTTGTAAGTGTGAAAATGTGAAGTTGAAAATAAAAAATTATAAGTTATATGTTATTAATCTTTTTCTTCTTCTCTATTCTTTCTCCTTCTCTGTTCTTCTTCTCTGTTATGCTCTTTCTCTGTTCTTCTTCTTCTATGCTCCTTCTCCTTCTATGTTATTCTTGTTCTATGTTCCTTCTCTGTTTTATGTTCCTTCTCCTTTTCTAAGTTGTTGTTGTTATTCTTCATTCTTTTTTATTTTCCCTGTTGTTTTCTTTATTTATTCATTATTATTTCCCCTTTTTGGTTTGAAACAAATTCTTTAATCTGTCTTGAAATTGAAATTTTTTTTGATGTTTTTTGTAGAAGTAAAAGTTGAAGATATGTTGACAATTTTAATTTTGGTATAAATATATATTTTTTTAATTTATCATGACAATAAACGATATTTTTTATTTATTTTATTTTTGGGATAAAACTTCCCATCAGCATTATGGCCAAGTAAAAAAATTTATATGCTTAATGTTTTAGTTTGCCGACAAAGTTTATTTTTAAAATGCAAAGTGTGAGATGTGTTGAATGTTTGTTTTTTGGTGTAAATAATATGGCTATATTGTTTATATTAATTTAATATTTATAAGTAACATAATTATAAATATGATAAATAATAAAGAACAAAATTTTTGCGAATTAATTAGGTATCACTTTAATTTATTATAATGTATAGCTGAAAAAATACTCAGGTATCAACTAAAAATTGATATCCTTTAATTATTTTCTAAACTAATTAGGTATCAACTATTTAAAAATTATTCATTTATTGATTTTATCATTAATTTTCATATTTTAATATTATCAATGGCATCTGATGTAATATCTACGATGTTTAAGATAGTTTCAAAAATGTACCTTTTAAATAATATTATATATATGTTAAAATAAATAAATATTAATCCATATATGATTATTAAAATAAATTAAATAAAAATTTATCCAACAATATATATCATAGATTTTTTGCAATATGTTTTATATTGTATAAATGTATGAAATTTAATTATATAATTTTGGATGTAACTAATTGTAAGATTAATTATCAGAATTTTCGAAATTATTATTTATGGCAATTTGAAAATTATTTAGATGTGTTTGGTAGTTAAAGTTCAATTAATTTAAATAAGTAATTTTTGAAAATAAATATGTTTGGTGATAGGTATAAAATAATTAGATAAAGAAAAAAATGAAAATTAATTATATGTGTTTACAAATGACTAAGCTACTTTTTAATGAGTTTCTAAGAAAACAATAAAATACAATGACATATCATATAATATAACACATCAATTATGTTTAAACATCTAACTCTTTTAATAGAATAAATTATTTTATGAGTAAAGCTAACTACAAAAATTTGAGTGTGTTTTGTAAGATATACAAATTTCTTTGTAGTTGGTTTTTTTTCTTTATATTTATCCTAAATTAGTTCAGTTATTCAATTTCACAATATTTTTGTATAATGACTATTATTTTCAATGTAACTAAATTATTTATATTAGAGAGCATTACACTTCCACAACTTATCAGGATATTCTTCCACCTAATAATTTGGTGATCATATTAGAAAAATATTAATGTCTATTGCAAGCAAGGATGAGAAATGAGACTGGAGAGTAGACTTTCTTACATCAATCAAATATAAACTATGTTTTATTTAAAATAAACACTTCATTTATCTCTTTTTCTTAAACTTCGACAGTCATTGTCAAAGAAACCTCTACAGTTGTTTGGAACAAATTATATTGTTTAGGTTTCGAGTGTAACTAAACGACGATATCTTAGGTATTCCAACTTCACAACAAATCCATCAATTAATTTCTCAAAAGAAAAAAGTAATAAATCCTTCAACCCACTTAACCATGATACATTTGTTACAACACATCTTACCATTTGATACAAGCTTTTTCAATCAGCCACTCTTTTTCAATGAATATGGAAGCTCATATCATTGAGTCGATTTTGATTTAACTAAAATATAAGTAAATTTATTTGTAATAAGATTTTAAAACCTTTAAAATGGTTGCAAGTGACTAGATTTGGCTTCTTTAAGTCCAAACAAACAAACCATGAACAAAGGGCAGGAACCGAGTCTACAAGAAAATTATTCATTAGATTTTTAAACTCTAAACCGAAGTTATTCTTTTAAAAAACAACAAATGAAACTAATCTGTCATAAGTTAAATAAATTTCAAATCCTTAATTAGTTAAGAATTCTTTTGAAATTAGAAATGAACTCCACTAATTGTTTTTTCTAGTAAGTCGTGAGATTAGACAAAACAAACCTTTTCCGACCGGACCGGGTCAGAACTCCAGACCTTATTTACCGCAGTACATAAAAAAAGTATTCATTTGAAAATTTGTACTTTCGACACCATCTGAAGTTGAACGAATATATTTTTTGTAATAAATTCGACATCATTTTCATTCCTATTTTTTCGAAATATTCCATCGGAGAAATCGATGAGATTTAATGTCAAATGATTATTTCAAGACGAAAAAGAAAAAAACAAATGATAAAGTCCAAAGACTCATCATCAAAAGGATGCTTGTGCTTCAATCACAATCGTGAGATGAAACCGTCTCCTGTTATTATATAACACAACACAATCAACACAACACAGTCACACAACTTTCAGATTTTTTTGCATGACATTTATATATTATTACTACTAATCAACAGAATATCCTTTTATTGATTACACACAGATTACAAACCATAATTGTTACGCTAATCACTCCTTTTTATTCATAGTTTTTGATTCAATCCGATACAAACCAGAGTCGAATGATTTGATTCTAAGATGCAGAACAGAAAATGGAAACTAACCCATAGAGTAAGAAGGTGTAGGCAAGTTAATGACAGTGGTCTTCACTTTGGTCATCAAATTGATGCTATTTGTCACACCTTGTGACCCTATTCCACTGTCCTTAAGTCCCTGTGTATTTCAATCCAAAACCATATTAGCTAACCGGTCATAACCGATGCAAAAAACTGGTCAAGAAATTGATGATTCACCTGGAAAGGGAAGTGGTCCGGTCCACGAGCTGGCGCAGAGTTGATCTGAACGGTTCCAGTCTCCATTGCATCACTGATCAGCATTGCCTTGTTAATGTCCTTAGTGAACACACATCCCTTCCAAAATGAAATTGTTGGTTTAGCTCCGGTTAAGTGGAAACCAAGTAAACTGGACTAAACCAAACCCAAATAGCCAAAATTATGTTTACCTGGAGGCCAAAGTTACTAGCATTGCAATGATTAATGCCTTCTTCAACAGAATTGATCCTCAAGACGGGCAAGACCGGACCAAACGGTTCCTCCCAAGCGATCCTCATGTCCGGTCTAACATTGTCCAAAAGCAACGGCCAAATCAAGTTACCATCTCTTTTGTACTCTTGGCAAAACGTTGCTCCTTTCTCCTTAGCATCCATCACCAATCCTTCAATGAAATTAGCTGAAGATTCCGACACCACTGCCGTGATATCGCAGTTCTCCTCCGGCGGTCCAACCGTGAGTTTTGCCACTTTAGCTTTCACTTTCTCAACAAGCTCATCCGCCACTGATTCCATCACTAGGACCACCTTAACCGCAGTACATCTCTGCCCACTGTTTAAAGGTAGATAAAAACCGGTTAACGCAGAATCCGGTTATACCAATTAACTACATTCATTGTAAAATTTTACCTGTAGGAGAATCCTCCTTTGATGATGTTAGAAGCGACTAAATCAAGATCAGCATCCTCCAAGACAATGCATGCATCTTTTCCTCCAAGTTCCATTTGAAGAGGAATCATACCAGCTTTCTTGGAGATTGAGATTCCGGTATCACCGCCAGTGAAACTGAAACCGGTTCATCCGAAATTTAAGTAGTTAATATGAACATAAACCTGTTTCTTGAATGTATATATACATACCTAATGCAGTTAACAGCAGGGTGCATAGTGAGGAAATCTCCGATCTCAGAGCCTTTTCCGGTGATGCAGCTGATAAGACCTTTTGGGAAACCGGCTAAGTGAAAGCAATGCACCATATGAAGGCAAGAAACGGCTCCCTAAAGAAATAGACCGTTAAAAAGGATTTTTCAAAATATTAATTTTGTAAAAGAGTGTGCAAGTGTTTTAGTTACTTGAGTTGGAGGCTTGAGGACAAGGGAGTTTCCTGCGATCAAAGCAGGAGCGATCTTCGATACAGCGAGATTGACTGGATAATTGAATGGAGGAATAGCTAAAACCACACCGAGTGGAATCTGCAGCTCAAGAAACATTTGTTAAAACTTCAACCATTGATGCAGAGATATGAATCTAAGAGAGATTAATGATCATACCTTGGAAGTGAGACAGTACTTAGTACGTTCATTACCAGGGAAGCTATCAGAGAGCAGAAACTTCCCTTCACCTAAGATTCTAACACCTTCTTCAGCACAATAAGAGATCAAATCTCCAGACCTCACAACCTTTTACCAAAATCATCAAACATTAGAGATCTGCAGAACACAAAGAAAAAATGGTTTCAAATGCATACAGAGAGAGAAAGAGACCTCAGTAACAGAATCTTTGGCGGGTTTAGCGATTTCTTTGACAAGAGACTCAGCAATGGGAGCTTTGTTCTCCTTGAGGATCGCAGCAGCCTTGTGAAGAAGCTCAGCTCTTTTCCAAAGAGGAGTCTTTGCCCACGATTTCTGAGCCGATTTAGCCATCTCCATCACCTTGTTCACTTCTTCTTGTGTGCATGCTGCGTTTCACAGAAACAGAGCATTTATCTTATCTTAGAATCTCTGTTTTTGTCTCCTCTGTTTCTCTTGGGTTTGTTATCTAAAGTTAATCTCAATTACTCTTCTCAATTTCATTTTTTCAACTCTTAAATCAAGTAATAAACCAGTATTCATCAGAATCTCCAAAACCATTCAGTAAATCTGCTATGCAGAAAATAAAGTTTTGATTTTTATGAAAATAATCTAAGAGAAGAGTCAGAGGTGGATCGGTGAGGTTTATAACAAAACAATCTATGAGAAGAGTCAGAGGTGGATCGGTGAGGTTTAGAACAAATCAACAAAACACTAACTGAAATCCAGAAAGAATGAAACTTAAGAAGACATTGATGATGAGACATACCTTGAACCTTGTACTGTGTCTTCCTTGTGGTCGGGTTAACGATGGCGACACTCTTACCGGAGGAAGAAGTTTTCCACTCTCCATCAGAGTAGTATTTGTAGACTTCTCCGTCAAGGATCTCAGTGAAAATTCCAGTCCCCGCCATTGATATCTGAAACAAAGCTTTCAAAAGAGGAAGAAGATCAAAAGAACACAAATTGTGTTTGTGTCTGTTCCACACAATGTGTGAATTATATAGACAGGGAGACAAAACAGAGAAGAAGACTCTCTCCTCTGTGTCTCACTTCTTGAGTGTTGAGAGAAATAGAGAGAGAAAGAGGAATTGATTTTTTGAAAGGAGTGGTGAAAGAGCATGAAAGGTAGATAGATAGATGGATAGATAATTGATGTAAAAGAAAATCTAGAAAAGATAAAAAAGAAAGGAAGATTGAACAATTGTATGGTGAGAAATGAGAATTAGAGAGTGAAGAGTTTCTTGGTGTGTGATCGTTTTGTTGGTTATTGAATAGCTTTTGGACCTACATCAACGTTTATTAAGGAAGGGACTCATGATAGCCACAACCACAAGCATGTCTATGAATTCATACACAAACAAACATGCATGTATATATTTAATTCATACACAAACAAACATGCATGTATATATTTAACTCACAAATGTCAGTTTTTGATGGAATATTCCCATTTAGAAAAAAAAAAGAAGAAGTATGATATATAATGTCATTAAATGTTTTTTTCCCTCAAAATATTATTTTCCTGTTTTAAAAGAGTGACTAACTACATATTTGTACAAATATAACTAATTAAAAATGATTCAAAAATCCAAATTGATGTTACAAACACTCTACAAAGATAACATTGGAAGTGATTGGTTGTAGCTGTAGCTGTAGCTTTTTATTTTAAAATACAACTGTAAAAATAATTACCCTTAAATAAAAGACTGTAAATTAAAAAAAAAAAAGTTAAAGATATTGGTAACAGCCGTAGCTTTACTTGTTTGCTGTAGAAATATGGCTGTAGATTTTTTTGCTGTAGATTTAATTTCTTGAAAATTTTGGCTGTAGAATTGTAAAATTTGAAAAATATAAATTTATTTGGAAAGTATAAATTTATGTGTTTTAGAAAAAAATGATTTGTACAGCAAAAAAAATAAAAAAATAAAATATTTTGGCTGTGAGCAAATAAAGAAAAGACAAAGTTTAAAGTTTATAAAGCATGATTTGTATTATTTAGAGTTTTAAGCATAAATATTATTGTGCATAGCATCTAGAGCAATAACCAATCAAGCCTCTCATATTGGCTTTTAAATAAATATCAAGAATATAAAAAGAAAAAATGGTTGTGATTGGATAAAATGTGGATTTAAAGAGTTTAATTTATTTTCAAGTTCCTATAACTTTTAAAGTAATTTTGCTAACCATCCCGTCATATGAATAAAGGGATTGAATTATATGTAGTTTTTTTCATGTTTTCACGTTTTGAAAACGTGATTCCACTAAATACATATCATTCACAATATTAAGCACTGAATGATAAAAAATGAAAATTAACACGCTATTTTTCAATTCATCCCGCATGTTTTAAATTTATAACTATTTTTGAAAAAAAATCTATTCATCTAATAGATACTAGCTTTTTAGCGTTTTGAGTTTCAGTTTTCAGTTTATCCATCCAATTGATTCCGCTAGTTTATTATTCAGCTATTAAGTTGACATATCAATCAATCTCTAAGACTAGTACTACAATGCTAGACAATCGGTGTTGGTGTTTAACATGCGTAGAACAGAAGAAAAAGAGAGAAAATAATAATTCTCGATCATTATGAACTCATCCAAATGCATGTAAAACACATAAGTAGTTAATAAGGATACATGTCATCTTCACTAGTTCTGAACAATTAGTTGTGAAGATAATTGTCAACCTCTAACCTCTAGATCATATAAATTTATGGCCTAGATTAGTTTTGAATAAAGTGAGAAAAAATCTCAAGCATAAGTTCTTGACCCTCATAAAAAGTCTCATATGCTGAAAACAAAACTAATCAAAACTTGAAAATATATCACTCTTATTCAGGAATCATCTATATAACATGGTGGATCAAAGGAAAGTGGAAAAGCAAAGAAAAACATGGTGGATCAGAAGAAGGCATATTATGTTGAAATGTTCTTGAGCATGTACCAACCGAGTTTAGAGCTTAACTTTCTGCTAACTTGACATTTTTGGTGTATTTTATCCTAAGTTATTAAAAGCCTTAACAATGCGTCCTTGGTGTTCATTACCTTGTCTCATGTGGAAAAATGGTCATATTTTGTTGTGGGTGAATTATCTGATTTTGAACTACAACGAGTTCGCAAAAACCAAAAAAAAAAAGAAGATGATGACATTGAATAATGCCAAAAGCGGTTTTGGAACAGGACGTTGTTGTTTGCTTCAAGGCCTTACAAAGTTTTGTTTGTCTCTTTAATTTTTATTAAGATGTCGTGACATTGTTTTCATCACTAGGTAAATTGAATATATGAATTGTCATCACTAATCTTATACTCATTTCAATATAGTAAAAAAACTTCCTTTAACTGTTAAAGACATTCGGGGGTTTATGTCATTTGAGACCGAAACCCCAAGATTTACGATTTACTATTTGAGTGACGGTTGTGAGTGGGAAGCTTTTATGCAGAGTTTGTTATCTTCTTCGGCCATAACGATCGACGATAAGACCCATTACTTATGACGCACTATCTTTACAATAGTGAGTAAGCCGGATTTAGCAGAGCAATTGCGTAATGGCCTTTGAAATATAAATGTTTTGGGGCAACTTAGTGAATAGTGAGTAAGCCTGTGAAGCCTTTTGTCTAGTGTTTGACCAAAAGTTAACTAATGCTTATACATTAAGAGGTTTGGGGTTTGATTCTTAAAAGATGAGATTTCTACAAATTATCACAAATAAATTTATCAAAAAGTTTCTAGCATGGTGTAAACAGATATGATTATTGCAGTCGTGGATCTTTATAGAACAATTAAACTATACATTGAAAAATTATAAAAATATAATATTTTAGATGACTATAAAATGTTAAATTTTACAAAAATAATATCAAGATTTCAAATCCAATAGGAAATCACAGTTTTCAAAAAATTAAGCTATATTATATAATCTATTTTTAGAAAATATATATTGTAAAAAATCAAGTAATAGTGGTCAAGTTTGGTCCACTTGACCAACCGTAAACGTTTTAGTGGTAACAATATTCGAATTTTATCATTTGGTCAAAATATCCAAAAATCTATAAATTTCAAAAATCTATAGACTAGTTTCTATAAATTTCAAAAATATCAGAATTTCTACTACCAATGGTAATTAGCAACGTTGTGCCGTTGATTTACAAAGCTCAAAAAGTTTTAACAACGACCTGCTATGGAGCTTTGGTCTAAATGGATCTACAACAAATATTCACTGATATAACATAGAATTTTTACCGAAAACTAAGTTGTAATGGGTATAATTGGTAGGTGAAGAGATGGGAAGAAAGGTAGATGAGAAATCTCATCACATATAATTTTTGGTAGTTAAGAAGATCGATGAACCACAAGTTTGGATAAAGAAAGAAAGAAAAAAACGTGCAAAGTGATTAATTCACAGGACCACAAAAACCATAACATAACATCAATATCCCCACACCACAACCCACACCAAATTGGTACCAATCAATCACTCTTTCATTAATCTTACGAGTTATGACCAAACCCCTTAGGAAATTTTAGTTCATTTTGTGAGTGACTATTAAATTATTTAAAAGATAAAACTGTATATTTTTTTTGGCTTACGAGTTGTTAAGTAGAATTGGCTTTCATGCATTGAAGTAAAAAATGTCAGTTTTTCATCTGTATTTAGAGATAAATCTATAATATATTATGATATTAGTCCCTACAAATGCATGCACTACTCCTTTCTATTTGTTTTAAGAAAAAAAAAAGGTTTTTCTTCTTTTTTTTTTGGTTTGAATGAGTCATTGACATGTCATGTTCATTATCATTTAGGTACAAAAATGAAGTAATAATCATGGGCTTGCACTATCTTTATCCACTTGTCTCTCTCGATCGACCAGCCTCGTCGTATTATGTGACTATGCATTTTGGTTTAACAGATAATCTTCTCCGAGCAGCTCAAGTGGTTCTTTCTACATAGCATTTAAAGATTATGCTATGTTGTTTGTAGTAACATTATATTTGTCTCCCGAAAATAAGCAGAGAAATTTGACATTATAAATACCTTACGCGTACAACTCTACATACTGATTCATTCAAGTTTTTTTTATCAGAGATCCTTTAAATACATTTACATTTGCTTTAAGCAATAATATAACATCCCAACTTCGTGATATGAGTCTGTTTTAAAAATTATGGATTAGTAAGATTATAAAGTTAAGCCTAATTAATTATTTAAATCTAATTAAATAAAACTTTAAACTATTTGAGTATTGTGTACTATTCTTCTCTTTTTTTTTTCTTTCTCTTTCTTTCTTTCTTTGGTTCTTTTCTTCTCTTTTTTTTTTCAGTCACGTCTCTCTCGATTTCTATTTTCTCTTTTGACTGCTCAAAAATTTCTAACATTTTATATAAACAAAATAAATTCACATAATACAAATATTCATACATTACCAAATATATATATATATATATATTGCTTGAATAATTTCTTTAGAAAAACTAATAATGAAACAAAAAGCTATAAAGTATTAAATAAAAAAGAGTGTATTGGGAGATGGAGTTACAAAATTTTTGATTGATTTTAAAAGTTGAAAGATTTTTTAAAAAGATTTATTAAATTTAGAAAGAGTTTGTATATTTAAAAAATCTACGAAAATATTTTATTATAGTGACTTTGAGAATCTAAACGATATAGATAATATTTTGAAAGTCTTCCAAAATCCTATTCTATGAATTAAATTGTATAAAATTTATATCCTAATAACACAAAATTTTAATAGAATCATAAAATCTTTAAAAGCTAAACTTTTTGAATAACAAAGGATTTTGTGTATATGGGCACAAAAACCATAACCGAAAAAACCAAACCGTACCGAACGAAAAAGTGATATGATTTGGTTATGGTTAAACTTAAAAATCTATTTAGCCATCATTTTATTATAGTTTTGGTTTAGGTTTGGTTTGGTTAAAAACCATCAAACCAAAAAGTTTTTTCGGTTTTTAAACTAAATTTTAAATAATTTATATTTTCCTAGTTTCTTAATTTAGTTTAGGTACATATTTTATTATTGGGCTTAGTTATCTTTATAATTTAATAACTCAACTCATAAATTTAAAATATAATATTTATAAAAAATATCTACATATAAATAATAAAGTAAACCTTAATTTTTCAATAAAGAAAAACATGATTAACTCTTTTTCTTCACATTCAAGTCTTCTAGTTCTAGTTCTAAGGTTATAAGTATTAAATTTTAATCTAGATTTGTTTATTGTTTTATAATTATTGATTATGAAAGATTTGATAATATGTTTGTTTCTCTATTTTGAAATCTGTCCTTATTGATGAATTTTTTATGATTTAGATTATATTTTTTGGATTTATTGTTTTATTTCACTCATATCTATTATTATTATTTTCATTAGTTTGAATCAAAAACTTTTGTTATAGTATAATTCCAAAAAACCGAAACCAAACCATATCAAATCGAACCGTAAAAAACCAAACTATACCAATCGCAATATATATGACTTTTATATGGTTTGAATTTTCCTAAAACCGATAAACCGTAAAGTTGAAGAAACCGAACCGAAACCAAACTAAAAACCGAAGTGCCCACCCCTAAGATTTTGGATAGAATTTTTAAAATTTTTAAACCAATAACAATAGATTCTAGTAAAATTTTAAAAATTAATAAACCAATAATGATAGAAATCTCAAAATTCTCAAAATTTACATAAATCTCCCAATAACCACCCCCTATACCTCCATCTAAAGCTCTATATAATCCTACGAATTGAAGTTACTATCATTACCAAGTCGGTCAATCCCGTTTATTTCGGTTCATCCCGGTCAAACCAGAAATTACACGGTCAAGACATCTTCTCTTTGACTTAGAAGCCCTAATTTCGGGGCTCTCTCTGTATTTGCAATTGCAGACCCTCGTAGTCACTCTGCTATCATTAGTTTAAGTATGAGGCTTTGCTCCCGGAAGTGCCTATGGTCTCGCCGTCGTTACTTTCCGGTGGAAGCGGAGCCAATGATCTTTAACTACCTGTTTAATCGAGCCACACACGCGCGATGATGAGCCTCCTGAGCGCTAATTTATAACCACTTTTCCCCATTTACCTCTGGGATGAGCTTTTTTTTTGGGCTGTGAGGATTAGTTTATTCTTTTGGGATAATTTTTCATCATATCTAAGAAAAGGCGAATCTGAGCTCTCTATCTGTGATGCAATTCCACATCATATAATGATTTGCTCAAGAAAACTGAAATGTTATAGTTTGATTAATGGAAACTTTTTAATTGGTTGAATTACAGTCTGAGAGAACCAGAAACACATTTCAGAATGTGAGAGAAAGGTCTAGGCTTTGAATCTATTGCTCAAGAACACTGAAATGTTTTAGTTTGATTAAAATTTCTGTAAACTTTTGCTCATAATTGGTTTGAATTACAGTCTGAGTAATGGATTAGATAGATCTGAGAGCACAGAAGCACATTTCAGAATCTGAGAGAAAGGTCTAAGCTTTGTATCTATCTTTCTTCTTAGCTATTGCAAGTTTGATAACACGTTAAGTAAATTGTGGGCCTAAACACTTTTCTCTGTTTCTGCCCTTAAAAGAAGGGAATGAAATTATGAAAGCTCTCAACTTTGGAAAAAAAAGTTTGTGCCTTTGTGGTGCTCAGTTCAGCTTTTTCTCTAACTTTGTGATGTGAGTTGTTTCTTGTTTTGATAAAGATTGTGACTTTTGTGGCGGAATTATATTCGAAATTATCCATTTTAGACTTCCTAGGTTCTGTTGTGTGTGGAATTATTGGTGCTGATGTCTCTCAACTAATTTGAAAAACTCTTAATCAGAAACAGAAACTATTCTAAGATAAGATGGTTTTTTTCTTTTCAATCTCATAGTCTAATTGGTATTCGCATTTGGGACCTTTCCCCAACCTCTTTGTTTTGGCAGTATTGTTCAGATTCCACAAATCAATAAAAAGTTAACTAATATTGTAAAATGAAGCTCTTTTCTTAGAGATGGAGTCTGGCTTTGTTTGGATCATACGGCCACTTGTAGGAAAGTTCGATTGATTGTTACTCTTTTTTGTGTCATCATCATGGTTGAGACTTGTGAAAGAGAGAGAGTGAGAATCATCACAAGTTTTGAAAAAGGACAAAGCTTTTTCTGATGCAACTCACGTTTCCCCTCCACAAGCTCCAAAAGAGTTTACTTGGGAAACCAAAACTTGGCGAATGCAAAACAAATTCTTATAAGCTAAAGACCAAAGCCACTTCTTCTACTTCTGCCTTCTTGCGTGTGTATCTGAGTTACTCTTGGTTTGAGAGAGAGAGAAACAAATAAAAAAATGTCTGCTTGTTTGTGTCTTGTGTTACTGTTGTTCACTAGCTTTGCAGGAGCAACGTATCCTCCAGGAGGTTTCCACCATTTTTCTTCTCTGAGACAAAACAAGAAGCCCTCCAAGTCAAAATCAGAGTCACCTTTTGAGACTCGTTACTTCCCTCAGAATCTTGACCACTTCAGTTTCAGACCAGAGAGCTACAAAGTCTTCCACCAGAAGTACCTCATCAACAGCCGTTTCTGGCGCAAAGGTGGCCCCATCTTCGTCTACACCGGAAATGAAGGAGACATCGACTGGTTTGCTTCCAACACCGGTTTCATGTCCGATATTGCTCCCAAGTTCCAGGCTCTTCTTGTCTTCATTGAAGTATGATCTTTTGCAAACGTTATAGTTTCAAGAATGAGACTTAAAACGTTTATAATAGTTTCTTTGTCTGTTTCTTGCATATGTTTGCAGCACCGTTTCTATGGAGAATCAACGCCATTTGGGAAGAAGCCGCATAAGTCGGCCGAGACATTGGGTTACCTAAACTCTCAGCAAGCGTTGGCTGATTATGCAATCCTTATAAGAAGCTTGAAGCAGAATCTATCATCCGAGGCATCGCCTGTGGTTGTCTTTGGTGGCTCTTATGGTGGAAGTAAGCTCACACTCACCACTTTCAATGAAACAATTTCTCATTATTACTCATCATTTCTCTTAAACTATGTACTGTTGTGACAGTGCTTGCAGCGTGGTTCAGGCTCAAGTATCCTCACGTAGCAATCGGTGCGTTGGCATCCTCTGCTCCAATTCTCCATTTCGATAACATCGTGCCCTTGACGGGCTTCTACGATACCATATCTCAGGATTTCAAGGTGCTGTATGCTCTGTTTCCCTGCAAATTTCTTACAAAAGTGATGTTTCAATGAACTTATAATGAAACTATTGTTACAAGCAGGACGCAAGTGTGAACTGTTTCAATGTCATCAAGAGAAGCTGGGAAGAGCTAGATGCTGTTTCCAACACGAAACATGGCTTGCCAGAACTCAGCAAAAAGTTCAGAACTTGCAAGTAAGTCCTGCAGTGGAATCCATTCTCTGTTCTCTAAATTCTGAAAAAAACTGCTTCACCGGTTCTGTTTTGCTCCTATTGCAGAGCCCTTCACTCTCAATATTCAGCCAGAGACTGGTTAATGTCAGCGTTTGTATATACAGCCATGGTTAATTACGCAACTGCAGCTAATTTCATGGCGCCACTTCCTGGTTATCCCGTGGAGCAGGTGAGAAAATCATTTGTGCCAAAGTGTGTGTGTCATCAGAATTTGAACCAGTTTTGTTCTTGCATCAGATGTGCAAGATCATCGACGGGTTCCCTCGAGGATCCAGTAATCTCGACCGTGCCTTTGCTGCCGCAAGCTTATACTACAACTATTCGGGTTTAGAGAAATGCTTTGAGCTTGAACATCCAACTGATGATCATGGACTCGACGGTTGGGGATGGCAGGTAATCTCATTACTACGAATGTTTCCTCTATATTCTGAGTCTGAGTCTGAATGAATGAAGTTCATTTCCAATGGATTTGAACATTATGATGAAACTAAAAATGATACAATGTGGAAACAGGCGTGCACGGAGATGGTAATGCCAATGAGCTGCTCGAACCAGAGCATGTTCCCACCGTTCGAGAATGACTATGAGGCATTCAAAGAACAATGCTTTGGTAGCTATGGAGTCAAGCCTCGACCTCATTGGATCACCACAGAGTTTGGCGGGAAGGTCCGTTTACTATTCTCTTCTCTTCTCTCGTTTGCTTCCTCTCTCATAAGTTGTTTCTTTAGCTCCCAAAGATTCAATTATCAGCTTCTTGGTCATATGTTTTTTTGTAGAGGATAGAGACAGTGTTGAAGAGATTCGGAAGCAACATCATATTCTCCAATGGAATGCAGGATCCATGGAGCCGTGGAGGGTAAGTATAGTACTTCTTCAATGTTTTTTTAGAAGAAGTGAATCTTTACATATTCATCTGTTTTTCAGGGTTCTCAAGAACATTTCGAGTAGCATTATCGCGCTTGTGACCAAGAAAGGTAACATTTTTTCCTGTTTGGGATGTTGGACAAATAGATTGATGAGGGAAAATCGATACATGACATTGTATTTCAATGAAACAGGAGCTCACCATTCGGATCTCAGAGCTGCTACAAAAGGCGACCCGGAGTGGCTTAAAGAGCAGAGGAGGCAAGAGGTCGCCATTATAGAGAAATGGATCAGCGACTATCACAGAGATTTAAAAGAAGAATGAGTGAAAAATGAAATAAGACCAATAGATGCCAACAAGTTTATTGCACAACTGTGTGTTTCTCATGTGTTTGATTCCCTTTGTTCAACACATTTTCATGGTGAAAAATTGAAAAATTCCACTTTACATTTGTTGTTACATTATTATGGGTGATTTTTTCAAAAAATGAAAATATAATGCCACTCTTGGAAATGTTACGGAACTAAAAGGGTAAAATCGCAAATAGTAATAGTGGGAAAGAGAAAACGTCGTGGGATTAATAATACTCTTTTCTTTCCCCACTAAATCGCCATTATTATTAAATTTGTTCTTACTAATTAGGTAGGAGTGTCAATTTGGGCCGAACTGGACTTCGGCCTGGTCCTGAAAAATATTGGGTTTGAGTTATAGTATAAAAGCCTAAAAAAATCAGACTTTTTGGACTAAACTCATTCGGATTAAGTCTATTTAGACTTAAGTCCGATCTGTCTCGAGCTTACCTGAAAAATCTTGTACTTTATATTATAATTTTATTTAAATTTTTTATTAATAAATTATTTTTACAATTTAAAAAAATTAAAGTGATTTTTTTTTTATAATACTTTGTATTAATATAAAACATTAATTTTTAGTTGTGTGCCTTCATATAACATCAATGCTCAAACTAAACTAGTTTCAAAAAACACTTATACTTCCATCCTGAAGATTCTCATCTCGATTTCTACCATTTCTACTATTTATATTATTTATTTATTTAATTATATTTGATATTAGAATTTATATAAATTTATAAGTTAAAGTTTTGCTTTCAGATTTGATAAAACTATACTTATAATTATTTTTAAAACTTATTTTATTTTTTTAAAAAGCTCAAAAAACCCAAAAAAAACTCGATAACTCTGTTAGGGCTGGGCCGAGCTTCAAAATATAGGTCCAATATATTATCGGGCCAGACCGGCCCGTTTGATATACCTAACATTATGTGTGATTTCTTCAAATATTGAAAATATAGTGCCAATCTTGGAGATGTTACAGAACTTAAAGGGGACAATCGCAAATAGTAATAGTAGGACAGAGAAACGACGTCGTTTTTTGGGCTTCTTCCCCACTAAATCGCCATTATCGTTGCTTCAGTCCGTGATCTCTAAAATCGATAAAAAAGTTTTCAAAATTAAGCTTCCGTCCACTGTATCAATGGCGCGGAGGCCTGGGAATTGCAACAGATGTCTGGTGATTTTCTCGGTGGTATCAGCTTTAGCTGTGTGTGGACCTGCTCTTTACTGGAAATTCAACAAGTGTTTCGTTGGATCAGCATGTCGCAACTCCATATGTCCTCCTTGTGTCTGCGATTGTCCTCCTCCTTTATCTCTCCTCCAGATTTCTCCCGGTACTGTAATCTTTTTTTTTTTTCTCTCAATTTGGATTGAATCTTGTACGACGAGGCACACATTTCTCCGAATTGATGTCTGAATTTTCGATGGAGATAACTTATGAGAGAAACCCAAATGTACTGCAACCTCTTCAACATCTTCCTAAGCCACAGATTAACTTGATGATGTTGAAGCTGCATTGAACCAGCAACATGTAATATCTAAAGTCTAGGTTTTAATGAGCTAGAAGACCTCATTGATATCACTTTGATATCGATGTTACAGCAAGCTTGGAGTAACTACAATATGCTATCTCAGAACCAGACTGAGAAACTACAAGATACGGAGTTAGCATTGTATCGAAATCAATATCAATGTCTATGAGGTCTTGTAGCTCATTACCTACTGCAGATATCACATATTGCTGGTTGTAGTACCAACTTCGTGAGAGTTAATGTGTTGCTTAGGAAGATGTTGAAGGGGTTTCAGTGACTTTGGTCTTCTCTGCATGGCCACATTTCATAAGAAGTGTGGGTTTCTCACATGAGGTATCTCCATCTAAGATTAAGACATCAAATTTGGAGAAATGTTGGTTTCAATAGTGAATCTTTTTAATCAAGCTACCGCTTTTACATTGTCTAGCCCCCCTAAGAATTTCGTTTTCTAAAACAAGTTTCATTCTCTTATTGTATTCTTTTGGCAGGGCTTGCAAACCTCTCTGTTACAGGTCAGATCTCGTTCACCAGCTTTAAAACTTGAGTTTAAAACTCTTGTTTTGTATTGTTTCTCATGCCTTCAAACATGGTTGATAGTTATTGACTAGATTCTTGTGTCTTCTAATGATTTTCTAAGAACGAGAATGCTTTGATGATTTCTCAGTCGAGACCCTTAAATCATATTTTTTTACCCTTGGAATCTGTTGAACCAGTAAGGAAATTCTCAAATACCAATAGAACCTTGATGGGCACAACTAGTTTTCTTAAGGTAACTGTATTTTTGGGTTCTTGATCAGACATAGTAGCATGAGATTTGCTTATCTGTTGCATTAGGAACACTTTTTAACAGATATGTGTTATAGTTCTCTCTCTTTTTTTTTTTATCTCAAGATGTTCCTATTTTGGTCCATGGAAACCGAATATTGTCTTTATGTTGTGTCATTGTGTGACAGATTGTGGAAACGGTGATCCAGAGCTCAAACAAGAGATGGAGAAGCAGTTTGTGGATCTTCTCACAGAAGAGCTGAAGCTACAAGAAGCAGTTTCAGAAGAGCATAGTCACCACATGAATGCTACACTCGCGGAAGCCAAAAGAGTGGCTTCACAGTACCAAAAGGAGGCTGAGAAGTGTAACTCCGCCACAGAGATTTGCGAATCAGCTAGAGAGAGAGCTCAAGCGTTGTTTCTCAAAGAGAGGAAGATCACTTCTTTGTGGGAGCGGAGGGCTCTGCAATTAGGTTGGGAGGTGAGTAAGCATTACACTGTTTAGTGGCTTCTTCTCAGTCTACCTTGAAGAGTTTCTTGATGGAAGCAAACTTAGATTTTCTCTTCCGCATATAGCTCATGAGAACATGGAAATCGCTTAATTCTCAAGGCAAAATTCTGATCTCCCATGTTCTCTATATATGTAGCTTTCTTTTAGTTTGGCTCTTGAATCTAAAGGATGTGCCTTGTATTGACTTTTCTTCAGATATATCTTTTTGTCCAGTCACAGTGGACGAGAAGTCCACCGACTTCTGTATTTTATAGTTCATGTTCATCGGCAAACCCAATTCTCATTAGCCAGAGATAAATATATCATTATGATCTTTCTAATCTAAAGGTTGGATTCTTTGTTTGTTGATATCTGCATCTGACTGAGACATCAAAACTGATTTGATTTCTAAGAGGATTTGTATATATGTGATATAAGCATGGCCTAAGCACTTTGGACTCTGTTTTCTTCTTTGTAAAAAGACTAACAACGACTTTTCAGATGTTAAGGAACATGAGAATGTGTGAAAGGGGACAAGAGCAGAGAAGAGACAAAACTAGAGTAAGTCAAAAATCGCAATAAGGTTGACATAATGCAGCATATGATAGCTCCAGGTATCACGCGGTATCAACTTTCAATATACATTCATGCACAAAAACAGCTGCTTTTTTCTATTTCTTTGATTTGTTTATTTTAGTGTCAGCCATTATAATACTCCCTCTCTCTCTCTGCCATTATTCTAATGCTCACATGGACAGATTCCATAAAGTTTTTTAATCAACACTTTAGATCTACTACCTTTAAAGAGCAGATCTCGGTTCAGTGACTTCTGCAAACCGTCCAAACCCATGTGGGTTGTCTAAACTCTATACCTTGAGGCTATTGGTTCTATATTCAACTTAATATGCGTGTTATGTTTCTTCTGTGTTCTTCTCTGAAGCTTCCTTTCGTGGACTTCTGCTGTTTTTTTCTAACTTTGGAATAATTTTTTGTATATCTCTGGACACAGAGATTGTAATTTCTTTTTTCTTAAATGGAAGGTTCCATGAACAAGCGTGGATACGAATGCAGTCAAGAGGATACAGACAACTTGCCCGAATCAAAGAGACAAAAAGTTCCTGCCTTGGCAAGGTAACTTCCTTAAGTACTATTCTCTGTCATTTTCTTAATTGAAGAAGAACTCGCTTTGTTGTTAGATTATGGAGGACAATTTAAACTATGTTGCTCTGTTCTGTAACTCTTCTCGAGTGGAGTTTTATCCTTTGTTAAGTTCTCAAAGTTTTGTTGTTAAAGCTCTAGTTTCGCTAGCAAGTTTGTTGATTTGCTCATCCATCGTATGAAACCAAACTGTTTACAGTGTTATTGTGGAAGCTGTCAAGGTAGATAGTCTGCAGAGGCTTTGCTCGTCTTTGGAGCCATTGTTTCGCAGAATCGTGAGTTTGTTTCTATCATATTCTTAAGTTAGATATTTGATGGTTTTAGAGTAAAATTCGAGATGCTTGTGGAGTTGTGAACTTGGTATGTCGTAAACAAACAAACAGGTTAGCGAAGAGGTGGAACGAGCCTTATCAAGGTTGGGAAATGCAAAGTTAACGTCACCGGAACCAAAGAGGATCCAAGGCCGCGATGGAAGAAACCTGCAACTTCATTTCAAGACGCGAATGCCTCCTCACTTATTCACTGGTGGGAAAGTCGAGGGAGAGCGAGGCTCAGCCATTCATGTGGTTCTTATCGATGCAAACACTGGAAATGTAGTCCAAACAGGAGAAGAGTCGGCTTCAAAGCTGAATGTTGTTGTGTTAGAAGGAGACTTCAATGACGAGGACGATGAATACTGGACGAGAGAGCACTTTGAGAGCTTTGAAGTGAAAGAGCGAGAAGGGAAACGCCCAATACTGACCGGTGACACGCAGGTGACGCTTAAGGAAGGTGTGGGAAGTTTAGGAGAGCTTACTTTTACAGACAACTCGAGTTGGATTAGGAGCAGAAAGTTTAGGCTTGGTGTTAAGTCTGCTCCAGGGTATGGTGATAGCTTTTGCATTCGTGAAGCCAAAACAGAACCTTTTGCTGTCAAAGATCATAGAGGAGAATGTGAGTTTCTTAAACTTTTGATTGTATATTAACTTTTCTCTGTCATCTGAAATATTTTATATTCTTTTGGTTATCTTTTGCAGTATACAAGAAGCATTATCCACCTGCTTTACATGATGAAGTCTGGAGACTTGATAGAATAGCAAAAGACGGAGTGCTACACAAGAAGCTATTGAAATCGAGCATTGTGACAGTCGAAGACTTCCTCCGTCTTCTTGTTAAGGATCCACAGAAGCTGAGAAACGTAAGCATCTTCAATTCTATTTATGTGAAGAAACATCAAGAACAACATATGTTAAATGTTCTTGTGTTTTTTCCCCCTGATATTGTAGTTGCTTGGGAGTGGAATGTCTAACAGAATGTGGGAGAACACTGTGGAGCACGCAAAGACATGCGTGTTGGGTGGTAAGCTTTATGTGTTTTACACAGACCAGACTCATGCTACAGGCGTTGTCTTCAACCATATCTATGAGTTCAGAGGCCTAATTTCAAATGGACAGTTCCTATCTCTGGAGTCTCTTAACCATGACCAAAAGGTAAAGACGAGACGTTTCTTTTTCTGAAGATCTTAAAACAGTTTCTTTGGTTTTTGTTAAGCTGATCATTGGTTAGCTTCACAGATTTCTGCAGACATTTTGGTGAAGATGGCTTATGAAAACTGGCATAAAGCTGTTGAATACGACGGTAAGCTCTTGAACTGCTTACCAGTTTCCGAGAAGGAGATAAAGAGCTTACCTGAACCGAAAATGGCCACGGCACATACAGCTCAGAGCCATCAACAGCTGCAATGTCATCAGAATGTTATTACCTATTCGCCGGTCCCTCAGCCGATGGAGTATCCTCAGTTTGTGCAGCAACATTGCAGCCAATTGTTACCTTCGTTACCTTGCAATGTACAAGATTACAACAACAAGTCGATGGAAAGTTCAAATGTCTCAGGGTCATACAGTGGAGAAGATTGGTGTCGACCAAGAGCTACAGGACAAGGTCTTGAAGACATTTTCAGTGAAGAAATCAGACTAAGGAGCTCTGAGATGCTTGAAACTGACGATATGCAGAGGCTGTTGAAGACTTTTGGCATCGGTGTGAACAGTATGGGAACACAAGGCGGGTTTGGTCAGACCGATGAGTCTTGTTACGGTTACAGCGTCCCGTACCAGGCCCAGATTGATAACACGTATAGGAGAGAGCGTAATAGAGGTTCCGGAAAAGCTGTGGTGGGATGGCTTAAGCTTAAAGCTGCATTGAGATGGGGTATCTTCATACGCAAGAAAGCTGCAGAGAGGAGGCCTCAGATTGTGGAGATCGAGTGAAATAAGATGGAGAAGAGCCTCTTTTGGGTTTTCTCTTTGAAAAGTTTGCGTTTTCGAAGTTCATTTTTTGGATGAACAATCTAAGAGTAAGAGAAGTGTGGACTTTGCTTTTGTATTGTAATGCTTTATTTGTTTGATATCTTTTGTTAGTTTTTGTTTTTGCCATCATTATATATAACCTTTTCTTTTTACTAGAAGATTTGAACATTATGACATTATTTCTTTTTGAACAAAAAAAAATAATAGACATTATTTCTAAAATTATTTGGTGAAAATTTGTTTTTCAAACTGTATCCATCAAATAATTATTTGGTGATATTTGCTATATTATAATCTTTCCAGCTATTTTGTTAGCCAACGACCAACCAATTTGAATTTTTTTAGTGAACACGAAAGAAGATAAAGAGAAGACGTTTAGTGAACAGTAAACAAAATTTGTTTTGGGAGTTTACCTTATCATCAAAGTCATCTCCTCCAACATTGTTGTTTACCTCTTTGCTATCATCTTTCTTTTTAATTTCACATTCATACTTTTGAAAATAAGATCAAAGGTTTATTAAATCAGAAACAAGTGAACAAGTGATACAGAGTTATTAATATACACCTGGACATACAGATATAAAGGAGAATAAATGGCTGTGATTAGTAGGAGCAAAGCAGACGACGTTTATATAGATGGAAGAGAGAGAAATAAGACTTTTAATCAGAAAATTGTTGTAACAAATTCTTCTTCTTCGTCTTGCTTCTCTGTATTCGTCAAGGATCCTTTCTTCATTTCTGGATTCTTAAAGTTTGTGGATTCTTTGTTTAAGGAACATTGGATTCATTTTAGGTTATCAATTGGAAATATTATTGAGTTTCAATTGAGTATAGTTTAGGTGTATCAAAGGTATCAGAAGTAAGCGAAGACGAGAGTGAGGCTATGTGAGAATTATTTGCTGAAGCGATACCCATTATTCAACCATGAAGACAAGGTTGTCTAGAACGGGAGGATTTGATACAGAGTTATTAATATACACGTGGATGGTACAGATTTAAAAGGAGAATAAACGGCTAGGAGTGAAGCCGCCTACGTTTTATATAGATGGAAGAAAGAGAAAGAAGACTTTTAATTAATATTTGTTGTAATAGATTTATCTTCTACCTTTCGGACTCTCTCTGTAATTGCTTAAGAAACCGTCTCTTTCAAACAGATTTCTTAAGGTTTGTTGAATTTGTTGTTTCATGAACATCAGATTCTTTTGGGAAATAAAACACAGATTCGATTAAGTATAGTTTTATTGTATCAACAAGAAACAAAATCAAGAGTTATCTAAAACATGAGGCGCTAAGACCATCTCCAATTTTGCTATATTTTCCTCTAAAATAGAGGTTGATTTCTCTCTATTCTATTTTAGAGGAATACTTCTATTTTAGAGAAAAATATAGAGATACCTACTTTTTCCTCTATATTTGGAGGAAAATATAACATCTCTATTTTTTCCTCTAAAATAGAGGTGGATTGGAGATTAAAAATAACATCTTTATTTTTTCTTCTAAAAGTAGAGAAAAAAATAGAAAAAGATTGGAGATGCTCTAAGAGAGGGTTTGAGTGTTTCACCAAAATTATTACCCTATTTTCAATGCAATATTTAGCGCCTCATTAAAGACTTTACAAATGTATATTTGACAATCATCTTTCCAATCTATCTTTTATCCCACAAAGCATATTATCTTTGATATAATCTTGTACCAACATTATAACATGTTTTCACACACTTTAAAGCTAACTCTAAACTTAGGGATGAGCTCATGTTAGTTGTGGATATGCTTGTCTCTTTTGTCTAAATGAGTGGCTTACATCCCAAATAAATAATAAGAATTAGGTGTTGGCAGGCCCTAGTTCATATTTCAAAAAATTATAGTTTTAAAAAGTATATATTTAAAAATATAAACCCAACTGATTATATTTTATATTCAAATTAATATTTTTTGCCCAAAATTTTTTAGATATGACCCAAAAAATTCTAAATTTTTAAATTAAAAAAGCCCCAAATTTTAAAATATCTATACTAAGAGGCATTCATGAATCCAACACCCACTCTTTTTATTGAATGCATCTACTATGCTAAAGTATGAGGGCACATGTTTAGGTGGAGAGATTCAGGTCGCCTAGCAGGTGCTGGCTTTGGTGGAGGGTGAATTACAATCGCTCATGTGTGGAGGGTCAAGTGGAGGTGGCAGGTAAGGTCGCCTGTCGCAGTTACAATCGCTGGAATCATAATATGCGTGATAGTTTCAATGAGGTTGTGTGTGATGGACTAGAATTGGTTTCCAGTATCCACTAAGAGATGTTTCAAGAGTTTACCAACCCGTCTCTTTAACAATTGTAGTTAACAAGTTAAATAGGTGGAGACAAAGTAACCACATTAAGAGAATAAGAAATAAATATTTTGTTTCCGTCTGAATTTGAGTATAAAACTAAATTTGAATTTAACACCAACGGTTTTATTGATAGTTTTGCGCATCAAAATATGCTTCCATGTTTGATGTCAATGGTTAAGATTCTGTTAAAACAATGCACGTTTCTTTCCTTTCCTGTATTTTCTGTAATGAATATTTGGTACAATTTTTTTGTGGATTCTTATTTTCTTTGTTTTCTGTAATTCGTGCTTGGTACAATCTTTTGTGGATTCTTATTTCCTTTATTTTCTGCAGTGAATGTTTTATACAAATTTTTGTGGATTCTCTTTCTGTTGACCCATTAAAAATGACAAGATTTCTCTACAGATTTATGGATAAGCTCATGTTGAAGAACAATTACATGTTGGTTACTTGGTTGTGAACATGCTTGTCTCCCTCCTCATTTAGATGACACATCTTAAGTAAGCAGTAAGAGTGAAGTGTTGAGATGTGTTTGTCATCACGATTACCACATCCAACACCCATTCTTTTTTGTGAATCCATGAGCCTCTGCTATGCTAAAGTATGAGAGGGCACAGTCTTCAGATCTTATACGATCGACAAGATGTTGTGTTTCTCTTTGTCATTATCTCCACTGTGTGTATACCTTGCCTGTTTATGTTACATGTTAGTTTTTTTATTAAAGCATACATCAATACATCCATCAAACTATTTACCGAATACCAATGTTTAAAATAACTTTTAGTCTTTAGCTTAGCAGTTTCTGTATATTGTTGTCAAATCACATATTACATATGTCTAACTGATCAGATGGCCCATTTTGTTTCGAATAGTACCTTTAGAAAACTTCAATCATACTATAGTTTCTTCTTCTAGTATATATACTACTACTAATCTCATGGACCTTGAATTGACCAGAACATAAAACGTTGATATACATATATGAAGTAGGTTTCGCATAAATCTAGTTCAAAAAAAAAAAGAAGTAGGTTTCGCATAACCAATTTAATCAAAACAAATTTAAATCCAACAAAAGCAATCAATTATCATTGATCATTTTATGAAATTCATAAACTAAGAAAGACCTATGGTAGATCGTACCGGGATAAGGAGTGACTAAACCGGAATTGGTACAACACTTGTTTTAAACCGGACTTGAATCTCCTTTTTTAATATAAGGAAATTGAAACTGAGACAGTGGAAGATTCTCTCTCACACCAAAAATGGCGGAAAATGTTGAAGACGACGAGAGCGAATTCGACAGCGTCACTTCATCTCAGAAATCTTTCCTTAAGAACTGCCCCTTCGCCGATCCTGAGTCTCCTCCGACGGAATCTTCCGGAGGAGTGGCGGAGACAGATTGGGAAAGCACTGAGATTCTCGGGAATCCGATTTCGCCGGCGGTTGTTCGAACTCCGGTTCTCTCGTTTCCTACTCCGACCAGCATCGATTCTATCAACGATGAAGACGTGTTCCGTACACCTCCTGAGAACGCATCTCTCTCCTCTGCCGCCGATTCGGAACCCAGAGTTAGGGTTTCGGAGATGAAACCTGCAGGAGGTTCAAAATCGAAATCTCAGTCTTCTAAATCCGAGACGACGACGCCTGTTTCTGCTTCACCGTCTCTTACGGCGGAAAATGTCAGGGTGACTCTGTCTTCTCCGACGTCTGTCGCCGAAGACGATGTTAGGGTTCCGCGAAAGCGTTCCAATGTGGGTTCTCCTTCTCCGACTGCAATCGGAAGAATCATGGTTTTGGAAAATCGACCGATTTCTGATTCTGTGAGTAACACCGGAGTTCCCAAATCTCCTTCTCCTACTAGGGCTCCGGGAAAGCATTCCGATCTCGATTCTCCTTCTCCGGTTTCAATGGCAAGGACCATCGTTTTGGAAAATCAATCAAATTCTGCTTCTGTGGCTACTACAGGACTCCCGAAATCTCCTTCTCCGGGAAAGCATCTGAATCTCGATTCTTCTTCTCCGTCGTCTGCAACTGATGAAACTGATATTCCTTTCAAAGAAATTTTCGAAGCCCTTCTCCGTAACAATGGACAGAATCTCAATGAAAAAGATGAAAAAGTTAGCTACTTTGACATCCTCAAACAATGTGGCCTCAAGTTTCCCTAAACTGATCATCAAACCCAAGTCGATTCATACTGATTTTAGTAGTTACTACTTCTGTTTGCTCTTGCTGTTGCTATTTCTGGATACACAACATTCAGATTTTTCTCTCTTTGTTTATATGAATACGTCTGAGAAAGTTAAGAGCTTTACTGTTCGGTTGCTTCAACTACAAGTAAAGAAAAGTAAATAAAAAAAAACAATTGAAATTTCCAAACTTTTGCTACGTTACACATCTTTTTACATTGCTAAATCCTACAATGATGAAACCAAGTTCATAAATGTGTCTTTTTTTTTGTGATATTTTGTTACTACCCATCTTCAATTCCAGCTTCTACTTTTTCCTGAATCTCAAGCACCGGTTGTGCTTAGTTTCATTGATGCTTGGCTCATCCTCTGTCTGTTTCGACGGAGGATTGTTGAGAGCGAGTTTCTCCATTGCGTTTATGAACTTGCGCAGGTGCTTTATGTACTCAGGATACGTCTCCAAGTTGCAATGCCCTCCTCCTTTGACCCACAGTGGATCATACTTGTCTTTAGCAAGCTCCCACAATCTCTTACCATGCGACATGTTCACAATCTCATCTTTTGTTCCCTGCAGTTTCATAAACAAAAAGTTTAATGCTCTCTCTTTCTATCTCTCTCTATCTCTCGGCATTGTGAGAACAACAAAAGTGATGTAATGAAATGAAACCCTACATGTATGACAAGAACAGGGCATGCCACATGTCGTATCCTCTCAATGTTCTGCAAAAAAGAGTTTTGAGAGACAGAAGAATAACCAAAAGTAGTAATCATCATAGAACAGAGATTGAATCGGGCTTACTTTGTATATATCGAACCAGAATGTCATTTTGACAGGATACAAGACTCTAAGTCCAGAGAGGATCGCGCTGTGAAGAACGATTCCTCTTAGTCTCTTTAATCGAGACGCTAAGTACAACGTTGGTCCGCTTCCAACGGACTGACCATACAGAATCATCTCCTCTTGCTTGAGTCCGTACTCGGTCCTCAAGCAATTGTACACAGCCTCGATGTCGTGGTACGTATTGATCTCAGACGGCTGTTTCATTAGAGAAGAATCAAAGAGGCAAATCAATAAAACAAAAGTTGAATGAATCTTTTTTCTTTTTTGTTACCTTTCCTGTTGAAGCTCCATAGCCTGAATAATCATAGCTGTTTCATTAAGACATGAAGAGGTTCAGGTTCGTTCATGAACAAGAAGAGAGTTTTTTTTGGAGTTTTGTATTATATATATAAACCTCATAATGTTGACACGGAGATGAGCTCGGAGCTCGATGAAGAGCTCGACCATTTGGCCTAGATCGGCTGCATTTCCATGGGAATAGAGAAGAGTGAATCTTGCAAAAGGGTGTTTCCAAAACGTAGCGACGACTTTGTTGCCGGATTTGGTGGTTATCTGATGAACTTCCATGCTTTTTTCCGGCGTGACTCCGGTGAACATTAGCTTTCCGGTCTCTTCGTCTTTGCTCACGCCGTACGTAGCCGGCGACGGTGGAAAGAAAGCGAATTTCGCCGCCAAGTTTGACGTCATATTACCCATAACAAATAGTAATTTTGTTAGAGAAACCAACAAAGAAAAAAACTTTCTATGAGAAAACAAAAACCTAAAACCCCATAATCTCTCCCTCCCTCTCTCTTGTGATCTAAGAAAAGGAAAGAAAAAAAGTTCAAATCTTTTTTGTTTTTGGTGGGTTTATGTTTAGGGGAGAGGAGGGGAAACAAAATGAAGGTAATGGTTATTATTTAATCCGATCTTGGCGGGAGAAAAAATGAAGCTGAGCTGTGTGATTAACAAATCTTCTCCCTTTTATATTTTGTTAATCACACATGATATTTTCTTCCCTTTAAAATTTTGTTTCTTTTTCTGTTTTTTCTTTTGGAGGTTAGTCTTTTGTAATTAGCATTGTCATTGAGATTATGACATCTACACAATGAGGAAAATCGCAAATTTAACATCCAAAACTAGTCACAAAAGCTTCTTAAAAAAAACAAGTACTGTATATATTTTCCTAACAAACCCATTAAAAAAAAAGACATACAATCGTGTTATGACATTTTAACTCGAATATACTTTACTCAGCAATTTACCTTTTGTCTCAAAAGAAAAAAGAGAAATAAAAAAACCTATTGTGATAAGTCTCTCTGTTCAGACTTCATACCACAATCAAAATTGCAAGCAGATACAAAGCATAGATCAACCTCTCTCACACATTCTTTCTATATCACTCTCTTTCTCTCTCTTTGTATCACAGAAAACTTGAAAGCCATTTTTCGTTTACCTCACAGGACCTTTCTCCGGTTAGCTCGGTGTCGCGTTCTCAGTTGTTTCAGGAGCGTCTTCCACAATCTCTGCAGGGACAGGACTGTTGCCACGCTCACTAGTCGAGCTACTGCTGTTCATCACTTCGCTTTCCATTGGTGTTAAAGAGACTGTAGCGGCTGCATCAGCAGGAGCAATCAGTGAATGTTCCTCTGAATGTCTTGGCTTGTTCAGGGATCCACAATGAGGACAGTAGTAAGTAGTGTACAGGAAGTCCTCTTTCCGTGAGAGACCTATGCGATTAGAGAGAGAGAAACAATGTTAAACTATGTTTATAAACGGATAATATGTAGAGAATCGGCTCACTCACCGTTATGCATATGGCAGTTTCCGCAGATGAGTGCATACGACTGAGTAGGATCTTCGCCCACGAGGAGAGCCGCAATGCGTGAGATCCAGCTACCATCATGGCCAACATACCCCTGAGGGTTATAATGCTCAAACGCCATCTGCTGGTTTTGCTCAGTGACACTGGTTCCGTCGCTTGTTCCAGAATGGTTAGACTCATTATCAGAATGATGGGATGATGTGGTCCCGGCGCTGCTGCGTTTCGTATTTCGTTGTTTTCGGTTCCTGAGCCCTTGTGAGTGTTTGGCTTCCACGTCATTGCTCTTGCCTGTGGAGTGGTCAAGTTGGGAATGGGATGCATCTTCTACATACACTTTCAAGCCTGAATCAGCACCCAACTTAGATGCCAGGATAGTTGCAGCAGCCGCTCTTGTAGCTGGGTCAGGGTCAAACCTCTGATACAAAATTAGCGCAAAGTTATAAACAAGTATCAGAGCATTTCAGTAAAAATGAATTACTAACAGTAACAGGCAGCCAGTGAGATATATCAAGAGCATTTCATTTCTCTTTCAAGGTCCTAAACATATTGCAATAAGAACTAATTCCAGAACTCAAGAAGTGCATTAACTCGACTTGGGACATATCACACTATGACTTTCAGCTGTAACATTTAAGTTTAGTTTCCTAACCAAAACTACAATCAAACTAACACAGAGCAACTAGTTTAACAGTTAAATAAAGTTTGTGCAGCTGTAGAAGGGTGGGTTGATCTTTATTAAGAAAGAGGAAGCTGATAAAACTTGTAACGTTCCAATCCAAATTCATGAAACCATGGTAAAGTTGAATTTAAAGACATCTCCTAATGCAATACAGAGTAAAGATAAGTTGAAAAATAGAAATAAAAAGTGATCTAATCCAACGACAAAGCTAGAGGTGATAACCTATTGCCATCACTGAGTGTTACTTATGCTGTACCCAGAAATTACTCAAGTAATGTAAGCACACATCAAAAAATGACAAGGGACATAAACAGGGATACTAGAAACCCAAAACAAGCTTGTGTCTTAGTCAAATCTTACCCGAATAATACCTAGTGTGGTGAAGATATTGGTCTTCTCTTTTAACTCATCGATCTTTCCCAGCCTTTCACCTTGAAGCTTCTCCAAGGTAATTTGATCTCTGCGGTCACCTAAACAAAACCAAACCAATTTACACAGAAAGACACCAAACCTAAGACAACAAAATCTCAAACTTTCACATGAAAATGAAAGAAGGAGAGAACACAAGAGCCTCACACATCCTCGTGAAGCTAACGAGTGAAGAATACGCAAGAGAAGCAAGAGCAGGCAAAAGAAACATCGGCAAGATCCTGAAACTCCTCAGTTTCCATTCCAAATCCTCTTCTCTGGTTGTCATGATCGCATAACTCACTGCAATTATCTGAAAGCAGAACCAGAAACTGCTCCATATCATAACATCCAAATCGACCTTTCCTAATAACATAAGCAACAAAAGCAAAGAAACTTCTTTACCTCAAAGAAGACAGAGAAAGCGATGAGATTTCTAATGACCTTCCTCCTTGTAATCGACCTGCGCGTCATCCTCGACCTTATCGTCGCTTCTTTCTTCGAGATGCCTTGAAGCCTCTCCTCGAAATCGTCTCCTTTAACCCTAAATATCACATTCCATATACGCGAAAACAGACCCTTGCGCGGCTTCTTCTTCTCGCCGCCGACAGATTCGGAGGGTGAAACGGCGGAATCATTCTGCTCGACGCTCTTAACCACCGTTCCTTCGTGCTCTTTCTCTCCCACCGCCGCCATTTCCTATCCTCCGATTAACTTCACACTACCACTTGAAAATCAAAACTACAGAATTCGATTCTCACAAAAGCGAAACTCTTTCCCTCGGGGATCGAAAAATCGCCCACTTGCCGATTTCTCCTGATCTGGAAATCTCTGGGGAAAGAGACTTTGGAATATCGTGAAGAAAGGGGCTAAACTGAATCCGATGCGTCGCTCTCTGCGAAAGTTTTTCTTTCTTCCCCTTCGAGGAAGCAAACTTGATAATCTGAAACTTTAGGGATAATTAATCAATTAACTGATTTGGGGTTTATTGTACCGTCTAAAACAACATATTTAATTTGAATTATATATATGTATAGTAATAGATAGTTCACCTAAAACTTCAGAATAATATTGGAAAATGCTCAAAAATATAAAAATGACAATAATTTAGAGTGCTCATCCCATAGTTATAGAATTAATAATTTAGAGATATACAAGTTCAAATTTGAGTAAATATTTCATTATAAACTTCATAAATCTCAAAAACAAATTATATAATTTTTTAACCAGGGTAGTTAAAAATCAGTTACTACTATTGGAGGTTGGATTAGAGGAAGGAGAGGACTTAGTTAATTAGATCATTTTTCCAAACTTTTTCATAATTTTCTATGGGATGATGAACCAAAAATAAAAAAATGATATACCAATAACAGAAGTGAAAAACTCAATACGTGTTTAGGTGTATCCATCCACTTCCTATATTAATATCATTCAATACGTGTTTTAATTTACAAGTTGTTTCCAAAGTTTAATCATTATTGCACGCGTCTTCTCTTGCCACAATTCCGGAAAAGTCAAGTATTTAAATTTCCTATAAACCCGACAGAACAACACAACACGTTCTCATCAATCAACGATTATCATCGTACGTATTTTCTCTATACTGTATACTGTACAACAAATTCTCCATAACCCTTTTTCGATTTTGAATCTAACTACAATATTCTGAAAGAATCCTAAAGGCCAATCCAGTATGAACTTCCATTGGTGTTATGAATCGGTGAGAATGTAGGCAAAGAGACAGACCATTCGTACCAAACCTGCTCACCAAATGCACATACAACAAAACACATAAGAATATGAATGTTGTTTACTTGACTCAATTTATCTGCTCTGTTTTATTTTACTATTTACCTTTGTGGAATCGCTACATCTCCAGAAATGTGCTTCTATTGTAGACTTAGGGTGAACTTCAAGAGGCTTCATCAATGGGAAAAAGATTGGAAACCTGTGAATATATAACATGGAAGAATCAGAATCTGAATGTCACAAGAGCAAAAGGGGTCCACTGATGATAATATAACATGAAAGAATCAGAACCAAGTGTGTCCTAACAAAAAAAATATATATGAATGTCACAAGAGAAAAAGAGGTTCAGTGATGATTTAATGTTACCAGCCGTTCATGTTTGGTGTTTCTGTTGTAGGCTCATTGCTAATATGCACATTGTCATAGAGGATAGCTTCAAAGTAGCCAGCAAATCCTAGTCACACAGGTCATTTCACCGCATCAGATTTGGTTTCGAGTTAGAGAAAGAGAGATGTTACCAAAAAAAAAACAAATAATCATACCATGAACCAAAGCAGAACCCGTGTTACTTGGAACATTGAAAAGCAGCTTCTTGTAACATTGGTTGTTGGGCTTTCTTGACAAGTCTGGATGCGTAAATGTGAACACCTAATAACAAAAATTTTAGTAGTAGAAGAAGAGTTTTGGATTCGTTTGCTCATGACAACACAATGGAAAAAAAAGAAGAAGAAGAGGCTCACAGGTTCACAAGGAGCAAGTCTAGCTACACTGTGGAGTTTAACAGAATACGCAGTTGCGAAGTAGGAAAGATTGTTGCGAGATTTAACCTGCAAGATAGATGACAAAACTTAAGTTGATATAGAGTTTATTTATAGCCCTGTGATTGAAAGCAGAAATCAGAAGAAAACCCACGTCACTGTAGAGCTTTGAACTTGTAATTGGCTGTAAGAAACTTGTATACCTGGAGAGAAGCAGAAGAATTAGATCTAATGATGAACTGACACATTTCATTAGGAGTGGAGACTCTTCTTATTGTGATTTAACTGAGTGAGAATAGACATACGAGAATGGTATCGAAATCCCGTTTGGCTTCAGTAACCTTTGTGCTCCATCAAGGCACTCAGGAGAGAGTTCATTATCTCCAAAAGAACCCAGCAATTCACTAACCTACACAGAGAGAGAGAGAGAGATTCGAATGAGCATGATTCGAATGTGTACTGTATATAAAGGCACATAACCTGTAATTACTGACCAATATATCAGCCTTCTCAGGAGCATTCCAGAAACGCATGTCACGAGATATTACAGTAACAGTGCCTTCCCATCCTCTAGTTTTTACCAAATCCTTCAGAAATAAGAACGATTCAAAACTTCTGTAGCTTCAGAAATGAATCAGCCTCTCTAAATTGACTCAGTTTCTGACGACTCACATGGAGTGTTACTACAGCGTTGGGATTCTTTTCCACGGCATAAACTTTCAACTTCCGACCGGTTTCTTCAGCTGCCTGGAAAAGGAAAGCAAAATGTATAAAAATAATTTCTTCTGATCAGCACGATATTGCATCAGAACTCACCTGCAATGATGCTCTGACAAGGGGTCCTCTTCCTGCTCCCACAACCATCAAGACCTACAATCCACAATTTAATACCGTCGGAGTATATTATCAGTGAGTGATAAAACCAAAACAGTAACAGATGACTTACAATAGTTAACTCAGACGCTTTCTCATCAGAGACCATGTCCACTAAGGCTTTAGCAATTGCCCTTTGATACTAGCAAAACAAAGATTACCAAAGGTTAAGACATTTAGTATTAGATTGTTCTAACATTACACATTTCAGGTTGAAATTTCATAAAAGAGACATACTTGGGTGTATTTAACCGAGTCTCTCTCAATCATCTCATAGCTGTGGGCTTCTAGATTATCCCTCAATGGCTGCAAAGCAGACGGAAAATGATAAACAAAGACAGAAAGAGACTAGTTACCAATACAAATTAAAGTGAAACCGCTTATAAAGAAAAGCTAACCTGCAAGGGCGTGCACAGACAATCTCTGTGGCGAAAATCTATGCGTTCTTGTTCAGAGAGTGGTTCCATTTTTTCGAACAGATTACTAAGATAGTCCAAATACGGCTTATGGGGGTGCTTCTGCGCACCTGAGATCCCAAATGAATAACACTTATTCACAAGTATACTACAGGAAACAGTCACAAAAGGATATCAAAGCTGACCATCAGCACCAAACAAGGACTAGACAAAATATACCAAAATCCGTTTGGAGATCATCCAGAGGTATTCCGGAAATTATAATCTGCATAAGCAAAATAGATGATTTTAGGAAAAGAGAAACGAAAAACTGTTTCTGATAACTCCCGAGATTGTAGGGAAAACCAAAAGAGCAAAACTGTTTCTAAAACAAAAGTGATAAAAGAATCTGAACGAGTCAATCCCTTGGCACCTAAATAAGCATGGCCGTGAAAAAAACTTCCTATTAGGTCTTGGTGGCTCTTTTGCAAGTAAGGAAGACCGTCAATTGGTACGAAACACTGGCAATGTAATTAGAAGCACAGTCAAGAATCAGAGGATTGGTAAGTAGTGATGCTGAAAAAGAGATTGCATCGTCTGTTATTACGTCAGTGCTTATAATGGCTGCTTTCACCGACTCTCCAAGCCATCGCCCTCGTGAATTTTTAGATGGTAGCGGTAACGTACTCCTTGACAAAAGAAACACAAAAGCAAATGTTATGTCTGCTAAAGGAAAGAAAAGAACATTGAAATCAATGGTTATCTCTGGACTCACCCAACATCAAGAGCAACAGACAGCTTACTGTCATGGTCACAAAGAAGACGAAGCGAATTCCAAATCTCCCAAGAATCTATCTGCATACATATAATAGAAGACATTTAGTTCTCTTTATCAAACAATCCTAAACATTCAAGAACCTAAAAGAGCACAAACAGTAGTCTTACTGGATATTCTGAATTAGACTTCCTCAGCGGGATCCTTAGCCATAGCTTCATAGCAGAATGAGATCGAAGCAAGAATATTAGAGACTGATGCAAAGAGGTTCTTGTAAAAGAAAGAAGGAAGATCACCTCCATTTCAAGCTTCCCCTGTAAGATCTGGTTCACACATCTGGCGTAATTGGCGCAAGAAGTCCCTTTAGGAGTAGGAAGAAGGCACGCCTGCAACACATCTTGCTTCAATTGTGGTTTCTTCCTCGATTAAACGCTTAAAGATCCATCAAGAGTGATTCATATTCATAAGCAGACCCTCAAGGAGAGATGTTTAGCCCAGGCGATTTCTTGCTTCAGTGCGGTTTCTGAATTCATCCTCAGGGTCTCATCTTCGGAATCCAAATCAATCCACGAACTAATTTTACCTAAAACGAACGAAATCAACCACCGAAATTAGATTCCCAAAATTGTTCTTCCTCACAGGGAAATACGAAAAGAAGACTCATACCAATTACACGAAGTCTCCATTTTAACGGGGACACGACTAAGTCAGAGCCAGCGAATGGAAGAACATGAGAATCCGAATCGCGTTCATCTACCAAGCTGGGCCTATACGAAGGGTTTATCTACGCGATGAAAAAACGCCATTAACGTGACGTCGAGCAAGGAATGTGAGAAATTGGAGAAAGAAAGAAAGAGAGTAGAACCAAAGGAGCGACGACGAAATCAAAACGGCCATTGTCGATGTTGAAAGAAAGTAGAGAAGGAACATCGTCGGAGAAATCTGTTTCCAAGCCGCAAAACTTGGAATAGGTCTTCTCCCATCGTTCACTCTCCCCCAACGGCATTTTTTTCTCACACTTCTTCTTCTCTCTCTCTCTCTGGAGCAAATCGGGAAAAGAAGGTTTCGTTTGATCGACGACGAAGCTTCTTTGGGTTTTTGCAAGGTTTAATTTTTCCGTTTTCAGATATTTTAATTAAACTAGTAGGCCCATATTCTTCAGTCCGATTTTGGTCTAGCGTATACCGGTCTAACCGAATCAAACCGACCGTTACAACAAACTTAGACTACAGTAACTAAAGATGTGATTATGGGTTCAAATTTGTGGGTTGTTTCGGATAATTATTATATTTTGTCAATGGATTAATCGGTTCAGAATTGTATCGAAAATTCATGTTGTAGTTTTTATATTCATGTTGTAGTTTTTTTTTCTGTTTAGACAAATTTAACTGTTTATTATTATGAAATGTCAACAATATAAGGCTCCTGAAAGATCAACATATAAGACTTCTAGAATCAGAAATATGTCAAACGTGATAAAATAAGTTATGGAGTCCATAGTCATTATGTATACAGTATTTTTTTTTTACTATCTATGAATATGAATAGAACGATCTTCGATTATTTGTAATACTAACTCATTCTCTCAATATCAAAGCATTATAAGTTTCTTTTCCTCTCTTTCTCATCAAGTTTCTTTTCCTCTCTTTCTCATCTCTTTCTTCAGTATTCCAATTTCTATGGATATAAATTTTTCATCTTTATTTATATTTATCTATACGATAAATATATCTCTATAATATTATTTGGGAAGTACATTTTTGAGGTACTCAAAAAAACATTCGCAATTACAAAAAATGCCACTCATGTGTTGAATAAAAACTGTTTGACAACAAGTTTATAAGAGGATAATATTGTACAAATAACTGAGTCAATTCAGTCACCGAGTTGACCCAACCAAGATACCAACAAAAAGACACGGATCTACTTAATACTTAAATTTAAACCTGATCGAAACCAGTATAATTAATTCATCGGTTAGCAACTTTAATCTCTGATAAAAATTAATAAAATATAAATCTGTAGCCTATTAATATTAATCAATTCGGAGAATATCATGTTTAAACGAATATGGGAATTTGTTATTTAACTTCGCAAATCCCGACAATTTCGCAAATCATGTTTAATGAATCTAGCCTCAAAATAAACTCAGATCTTTGAAAATCAATGAAGAAAATATCGTACAATATACTAACTTCGAAATTTTTTGGTTAAGATCTTTAACTTAATTAAATCAAATAATCAAACCATACCTAACTTCCCCTACGACATACTGCATAAATAGCATACCCTAGCTAGGTACCTCAACATTCATACCTTAGACAAAAAATCAATCTTCGTAACAAAATGGCTTCCGCAATTCTAAAAAGTGAAGATTGCATATCCTTGCAAGATTCATTCCAATGTTTTGATTCCAGATTGTTCACTTCAGAGAAATTATCTACAAAAAACTAACGGAAGAGAAGTAACTGGTTAGTTCAAAATCATCTTCATATTTTATGTGTATATGTTAGACTATTTATTATGCTTTTTATGTTTAATCATATTAACAAGTGCATCTCAAATAAAGAGCTTAGACGGTGCAGACACGATTTTCAAAGAGTCAATCATCTAAAGGTTAGTATCGTATCATTTTTTAGTCAGAATTGCAGTGTATGCTTTCAAATCATAACAAAAACAAATAATTTGGTTGATTTTTTTTTCAAGTTATAGCTTCTACAATGGATATATAGAACCAGACAAATAACAATGATAACATTCTCCAATTCCTGAAAAATTGTTTATGTATACCATGGTATACTAAGCTTCACTATATTTCACAGCTAATATCTGGTACGCTCTAAGTTACCTATCATTGTTCATTATAAATTTGTGCATTAGTTAACTCTAACCTTTTTTTGGCTGATGTGATGTCTTAGGTATGTTTTCCACAATTATACTTAAACATCTCCTCGGCAACGGTGACTTCAATAGCATAGAATAATGTCCCTACCACAAACGATACACTTTGTTAGTTGATCATACACCTCACATAACATTTAACTCCGGTATTTGATTGTAAGATTTAAGCTTTATTTTATTTTCAATAAACAGTGAATGAATCTGTTTTCTATAACTTGAGTTAACAAACTAATTTAAACCAATTTATTAAATTTAAGCATTATTTGATTCAATCAGTTTTGATTGTTTGTGTTTATTAATCTCTATAATCAGCTGACATTAGAGAAAAGCAGGTATGGTGTGTACTAACCTTGCTGATCGCTGAATTTTATTTGGGTTGTTTTGCTCATACTCTATGAGCTCTGACTTGTTTGGTATACTATCAACTTTTAACGAACTTCTCAGCTGTTGAAGGGAGGGACCCACAATTTGAAGTATTTATGTGCAATATTTCCGTCAAATAATAGCAAAATGCGTTAGAGCAAGCCACCTTAAAGTTACAAAATCTTCATAGACTTACAAATGAGCAACTTGCATACCCAGGAATCAATTGTGACCAACAATATCTTTTTTCTGAAGAAAGCAGACCAATCAATCGATTGCAGATTGTGTTTTTGTTTGCCCCACTCGCTTGCGCTGATCTTTACCTTCTTCTGTAATAGACTTTCAGTAATAATATGATATAATATTTGGAACAATTATGGCTGCTTACTTAGATTACACATAAATACTATGCATTTTGTCTACTACAATATCCTTATATTGTTTGGTTGATATTGTAAACAAAAAAGACTGCATTTTGAAGAATGTATAGTCTCATGGAATTTAAATTCAATGCATTCTGCTGCACGCAAGTTCATAGAGACTCAATGCACATGAGCAGAATCAAAAGACCAGTAACGGAATCAAGTTGCAGAGAAGGTTACAGTTTTAGTTCAATCACTAAAAACAGGTTAAGATGTGATTTTTAAAAAGAAAAAAAAATAGTTTACCTGTTCTAAATGGTGTGGAGATAGAGTTCCATTGGAGTTGCTGCAAGAACGAGACATGAAATTTGAGTTAAAGTTTCACCCTGCATCGAAAAACCAGAAGAGACAGAGTAAGGAGGAGTTTCAGGTTTTCTGTGAGTTTAAGTTATCGGTGGAGAAAACGTTCCTTCAAAGAACCTGTAAAAGAGCAGAAGAACACAGGGTTTTCATCATTAAATCTGCAAAATAATCCAAGTTTTTCCAGAATTTTGTGATATGCAGTCTCAGAAAGGGAAACTCAATTCGTCACAGTAAGGAGATAAATGGGAGTTTCAGAATACCTATGATTACAGAAGATAACGGCGTCTGAAACTGATGCCAGGGAATGTATGATTTGATCGAAAATCACATCGTAACTTTACTATCAGAAAATCAAAGAGGATGAGAGGTTTGTGACGAGCTTGACGCGGCTTCTTCAGCCACCAGATAGAGATGACAACAAAGGGCATCATCGGAGGATGCATGGTTTGCCGGAATCGCATCTGTGTTTCACATTCGAGAAAGAAAGCTTGAGAGAAAGTCGCCAAACCTTGAGCCCAAGATGGAGGTAGCTTGAATCAATGGAGGTTCGAATTGACAGTGGGAGTTGGCGGAGCAAATCGCTGGTCGGAGAGCTTGACGGTGGTCGGATTTAATTGAGGGTGAAGTGGCTCCTTATTCCATCTACAGCAGAGGGGAAGGAGTAGTTAACTCATTATTGGAGAGGGTCAGAAAAATAAGTCTCGCCAAGAAACGCTGAGAAGTTGATCGGAATTGCATCGTCATTTTGCTGGTTTGTTTACAATTGAAAAAAAGAAAGGAGATGGCATCGACAACGACAAAAGAACTGTTGTGACGAAGGAGAGAGAAAAAGAAAATTTTAACTGGCCCAAGATGAGATTGTAAATATTTGGACCTCGATCATTTATTCTAACCCCAGATTTGAAGTTACTATATGGATTAGTAGTTAGGCCAAATATTTGGAGAGCCCATAGCAAATAAAAAGGAACGTGAACATGAACAATAAAGTCGACTACTATGAGTAATGAGAGCATTAACTATAATAAAATATGAATTATATCTAAAACTAAACTAATAAAAAACAACTTCAATAATTATTAGTCTTTCTAATAGAACAAATAATTCAATATTCTAATTACAATCAATTCTACTAAATAATTCAATAAAGGTAATTCTGCAATATGTCAATAATAAGATTACAATAAACTAAACTTTTAGATAATAAATGAACTTAATATTATAAAATTACCTAATCCTGCACATAGAGTGTTTTATCAACTTTATGTTAATAAAACTAATAACTTAAAAAGAATCCCAAAATTGATAGAAACAAAACCAAAATATGATTCACAAATATTATAAATGTTTAATTCCAACAATCAATTAAATTATAACGTAATGTGATAATTTTGACGACATAAATTTTGGTAAAAAAATACATAGCTCCATTCATGAACCTAACTTACTTAAATATAACTGCAATTTTCCGGATTGTATATATATATATATTATACAAATTATTTACATCTATCTTTTATTTTTGTAGAATGCTTTTAATTTTTTAAAAATCTAGAAACGATATTAGATAAATTAAATTAAGTTATATTTAATGGGTTTAAAATATAAAAATAAAAAGATATAACTTAAAATTTAGTAAAATATATAATACATGTATACCAAAAATAAAATTTAAAGGGTTTGTATATTATAAATAAAAAAATATAATAAATATATACCAAAATAACACATCACATACAAAAATGTATTTCTCTAGCAAATCAAAATTGAAGATCAGAATAGAATGTAATAGGACGATATTAATGAAATAAAATTTTGATTAAAAAAATACATAACTCTATTTATAAACCTAATTAACTCAAATGAAGCTGTATTTATGAGTTGTATGGATACATTATACAAAACAAAAATATAGTAAATCTCATATAGAAATGTATTTCTATATGAAATCAAAATTAGAGATCAGAATAGAATGTAATGTGATGATTTTGACGAGATTAATTTTTAATAAAAAAAAATTATGTTCATTAACCTTTTTAACTCAATATAGCAGAATTTTCAGGTTGAATCAGTAATATAAATATGCAAACAAATTAAAAAATAGTAACCCATCTTCAGGATAGATTAAAATTTAGTAATGTATGTAATATATGTATAACAAAAATAAAACTTAATGGTTTCTAAATTATTAATAAAAATTCAGTATGTCTATTGCAAAATAAACATCTCATATAAAAAATTATTTCTATAGGAAATCAAAATTTGATATCATAAGTAAAATGTAATGGGAAGATTTTTACAAAATAAAAGGTTAATTAAAAAAAAACTTAACCTCTATTTATAAGTCTGTAACTAAAATATATCAGAATTTTTGGGTTACATATATACGTTATATATATCATTTACATCCATCAAATATATTTGTCAAATTTTTTACATAACTTCCTATTTTTCTAACAAGAACTAACAATAATTTGAATTCTATATTTTGTTTTATATAATCAAATTATTAATATTTGTTTTTCTTACATTTTATAAATCTATCCAATTTTAAATCAAACTTTCAAATATAACAAAAAATAACTTACAAACGATATAATAATTATAAATACAAAACTATTAACTTAAACAAATATCACATACAAACGAAACCAGCCAAAACAACATTCACAAATAATACAACGTTCTCATTCCAATAAACGATTAAATCATACAACAAACATACTTAACTAATATATTAATAATATAAATAAGAAAAACTTTAATTATAAATAAAACTTAAATTTAATAAATTAAAAAACAATTACCCCGCACGTAGAGCAGGCTAAATCCTAGTAGCCTATTATAACACGTTATCAGCACGATCACTCTACAATACAGCTAAAATATATGTATATCGTCTATATACTTATTTATAATTAAGTGGTTGTTCAACACACCATTATTTACTTAATATTACAGTGGGCGGTTTGTTGCCTCATTAATATTTTGTAATCATTATATCATTGATGCTAGATGCACCATAATCATTTATTTACTGTTTATATTATGTTGGACGGCTACGCTGCCTTATAATTAAATTATTGTTTAAACATGGATGATTTTATCACCATAATATCACTGTTAGATATTTATATATATTATAATTATTATAAATGGAGGCTCGGCCACCTGTATATAAATTTCTCATATGAAAATTGATAGATTTAACTGATTACTCATTAAAATTCTGGATTGTTTTTATTTTTAAGTCTTTACCACTCAACGGTAACGAAGAAATTTTTTAAAGTTTTTTTATCTTTTTCAAACGGCTACTTAACGGCTAATGAACAATATTTTTCATCTAGAAATACTCTCATATTTCATTCATTTACTTCACTCAAAAACTTCTTTAAACAAAATCATTTGTTTTCATAAAATAAAAATGCTTCATTTCTTTTTAATTTTTGTAATTGATTATATCCTAGTTACTTTAAATAGTTTATTCGTCGGAGAATTCTCTCCGGAAGAATATGTGATGATTTTCATTTTGATGTTTTATGCATTAGTTTTTCTTGTAATCTCGTTATTTATTCCGATGCTTCGCATATTCTAAATTTAATAAAATCACCTTTCTAATTATATTATTTTTTCATGTTATTTTAGAAAACCAAATGGCAAACATCGAGAAGCTTAAGTTCCCAGCTCCCAAAATAAGTGGAGCAAAGTACATAGCATGGGTTACCAGCGTGGAACTTTATCTGGAAATGAAAAAGTTAACCGATACGATAAAAGTTAATCGTTTGCCCCAGATAAGGCTGAAACGATAATCTTCCTGAGGAAGCATTTGGATGAAAATGTGACGCATGACTATGCGCTCTTAAAAGATCCAGCAAAATTGTGGCAAGCCCTGAAAGAAATTTTTGACAACCAGAAGGATGTCAACCTCCCTCATGCTCCAGAAGAGTGGAAAAACCTGAGGTTCCAAGACTTTGAGAAAGTGGATGTATACAATTCCGCTATGTTGATGATAGTCTCACAATTGGAGTATTGTGGAAAGCCCGTCACAGAAGCAGAAATGCTTGAGAAGACTTATGTCACTTTCCACAAGGAGTATCGTGTCCTGCAACAAATATATAGAAAATGCGGATACACAAGTTTTTCTGAACTAATTGTGACACTCATGCTGGCTGAGAGGAATAATCAGCTCCTCATCAAAAATCACAATTCTCGACCTATGGGAACCAAAGCATTCCCGGAAGTGAATGCAATTGATACGGAAAATTCAAGGAAAAGTCAAACCTATCAGGACCGTGGCCGTCGATTTAATCGCGGACGTGGACGAGGTTACAACGCAAGGGGGAGAGGATCAAACAAATGGGTTAGATCCAAAATACATTCCAAAGGGAAGGAAACTCAAGTAGCCCCCACCTAGAAGCGTGAGGATGTATGCTACATATGTGGGTGCAAAGGATATTGGTCCCGCACATGTCGAACCCCTCCACATCTTTGCAAGTTGTACCAAGAGGCCACAAAAGGCAAAGGGAAAGAAGTGAACCTCGCTGAAAACTTCGAGGGTACATCGTACCTTGACTCCCTCGACTTTGCAAGTGATTTTGACGAGGCCGATATCCGGAATAACTGAAATGCTTGTAGAGAGACTACTGAATAATCTCTAATAATGCCATATATAATTATTACGATTTCAGTTTTAAAACAAACTAGGATATTGGCCCGCACGCATGTGCGGGCATGAACAATTTTTAAAATGTAATTATCTAAATACAATATCTAAATCCGTTTTAAATATTTTAATTTTTTTCGTAATATATGAAACTCAAGGTCAGTGTTTTGAATTATAAGACTTTAAATTAAGTAGTAAAATATGATCTAATTTTAACTAAACATTTTGTTATAACAAAAGGTTCATTTATATTTTGAGACAGACTTGAAAAATAATAATTAAATTTGGAAAACACAAAACTTATTTTTCCATGATCAGGCTTTATAAAACTTGACCAGTTATGTTAGAGGATCAAATGGATCAAACCCGTGGATAGCTGGTTACCTTCTTCGAATTTGTGGATCAAGCTGCAAATTTTATCTTCTCTGTCTTTTTTTTGAACAAACGTTTTTTATTTTCTTTGTCTTCCTATAATCTTCCTCAATTTAAAGCATTATTTCTTCAAGGATTCCGTCATTGTTGGTCTCAATCTACTTATATGTGCGATTTTTCTACTTATAATTTTATCAAGTAGACTCTACAAATAATTGCAAGACCATCTCCACTTAAGCATCAAATGCTTCAATTAACCCTATTGCAAGACATGTTTCAGCGAAGGTTGAATATAAAACTCTGTTTACTGTTCTATTATTTTTTTAAACATACTGGTCTTCTCTGAACATTTAACAACATTTTAAGGTAGAAAAGTTCACCATATTCTTCTGAAACTTCTGGAAGGCTAATATCGTAGGGAACATTGTTTTTTCTGTTGCGAGGGAGCCACTTCTTAATTTTTTAATGCCAAACCCATTTGGTTGGAAATTCAGTGTAGCGATAAAACCTTGCTTCATTACACTCATGATTGGAGTCTATACAACCTCCAAGTTTCATTTTAGCCATATTCGATTTAGATAAATGGATTGGTAGAATTGACATGCTCGCGCTTTGAGTTAGGATTTGATTTGTTTGATACTC